CCCTCATCTGACAAGTTGACAGGAGCAGACAGACGCGAGTGCGAGTGCAGAGACAGTGGGCCGTGACCTGGCTGCAGGGGATAATGGGAAAATCATGTTTATGGCGACCATGGTTCAATAGAGTTTTACAGAAATGTGTACTGCAGTATTGACAACTGCAATATTCATTTACGCAGTCTGCTGAAATCATCATCATTTATTATTTTTTTATTACGATGTTGAATCCAAGTTTAGGGCGAGCCACTGTTCTTGTGTTGGCACCTCTTTTCAAAATAATTTAATTTAATTTGGGAGATTTATATCTGCATAATTCAAGTCTGTTTTGCAGCCAAATAAAGTTTTTTCTTGTGTTCTTTAACTGAATTAAAAGTGTGCTTGCAAAGGACCAAATACAGAGTTTGAATGCTTCACTGGGTCAAAAGATGCAAGAAAAAATTTGATTTATAAATTTTAAATGTCTTCAGAATCAGAATCTAATTTGCATTTCAATCTGAGATAACCAGTCCTGATATTATAAACTTTCAAAACATTGTGTGGTTTTAAGCTACAAAATGCACAAGTCATTGAATCGAGCTACAGTGACTTAATTAAGGTGATGGAGGTTGATTGACAGTTTGGGCCTCACCCACTGGAGTTGCTCCTCTGCTGTCAGCACAGACTCTGCTGTAAATCCCTTTGTTCCACACATCTTCCCCTGCTAAGTCTCTCCTCTCCTCTGCTTTGTCTCTAATTCTCTGATCTGTCTCTCCTCCTCTCTTCTATCTGCTCCTTGTCTCTCTTTCTCTATTCTGTCTATCCTCCTCATCTGTCTCTCTTCCTCAAGTGTCTCGCCTCCTCTACTCTGTCATCACTCCTGCTTCCAGTCTCACCTCCTCTGTTTCATCCCTCCTCCTCTGCTGTCTCTTCTTTATCTCTCCTCTACTGTTCTGTCTCTTCTCCTCTGCTCTCTCTCTCTCCTCCTCTATTCTCTCTCTCTCTCTCTCTCTCTCCTCCCCTGCTGTCTTTCCTTCTGTGCTCTCTCTCTCTTTCTCCTCCTCTGCTCTCGCTCTTCTACTCTTCTACTCTGTCTCTCCCTCTCCTCTGTCTTTCCTCCTCTGCTCTCTCTCTCCTCTGCTCTGTCTTTCATCATCAGCTCTTTCTCGCCTCCTCTGCTTTGCCTTTCCTCCTCTACTCTCTCTCTCTCCTCTGCTTTCTCTCTTCTCCACTGCTCTCTCTCTCCTCCTCTGCTCTCTCTCTTCTACTTGCTCTCTCTCCCTCCTCTGCTTTCTCTCTACTCCACTGCTCTCTTCTTCCTCTCTCCTTCTCTGCTTTGTCTTTCCTCCTCTACTCTGTCTCTCCTTCTCCTCTCCTCCTCTTCTCTCACTCTCCTCTTCTACTCCCTCTCTCTCCTCCTTTGTTCTCTCTTCCTCTGCTCTAGCCTCTCTCCTCCTCTGCTAAGTCTCTTCTCCTCTGCTCTGTCTCTCTGCCTTTACTCTCCCTCTGCTCTGTCTTTCCTCCTCTTCACTGTCTCTCCCTCTCCTCTCTGGTCTGTCTCTCCTCCTCTCCTCTGCCTTTCCGCCTCTGCTCTCTCTCTTCTCCTCTTCTCTGCCTCTCCTTCCTGTCTCCTCCTCTGCTTTGTCTTTCCTCCTCTACTCTGTCTCTGCTCCCCTGCTCTCTCTCTACTCCTCTTCTCACACGCTCCTCTCCTCCCCTGCTCTCCTCCTCTTCATCATCTTACTCCTCAGCATCCTTCCATTAATCTTCCGATGACGCTTCTTAGACTGCAGCTCCTCTGTCAAGTCTATAATGTGACATAACCACAGCACCAAAAGGATTTATTCTGATCAGTAGAGAAAGTAAAAAGCGTTTCTGAATACAATTATGCAAGGTGTAATAAAATGGCGAAGTCAGATTCAATGAGGAGTGAGTCACAGTTGAAACGCAAGCAACAGTTAGAACCAAAAAGCAAAAGATTAAAAAATACTGTATCATTTGAGCAAAATGTTCCAATAAATCACAAAAGCTCCGAGTCTGGTCCAGTTCTCTATAGTACGATTTAAAATACATTCAAGTCCTTCAAACTGTGTTTTCATATTGCATATTGATCAGCAGTCCTTGATACAGAAGAGACACAAGGGAAGAAAAAGTGTAGTAGTAGTACAAACATAGAAAAATTTCTATATGATCTACATGATACTAAATTTGGTGTTGAGTATTGATATTGTAGACTACTGTATCTGATTCGATACTATATTGTGGAAAAGAGTTTGACCAATAGGATTTTGTTCATGGCTGATACCGATTGTTTAGAATACAGAAGAACTTGGGCCGATATGTCTTATTTATACCTCTCATATATATATATACAATTAGGTTAGGTTAGGTTGCTTTATTTGTACCCGTAGGTAAATTTGCTTTGCAGATTTGAGAGGCACGCCCCACATTTCACATTTCATTCATCCACAAACCACGTATAAAAACACAATTACAAAGTAAAGTGTTACAGTGCTCCAGTGCAGAATGGTTTGTTCCATAAACAATTAGTTAAATTCATCCATCATGCTTGGCTAAAATCACAATAAATATTAAATATGTTAAAAACACACAATCTTAGATAAATAGATTACAATTTATTCATAAGTATGATAGCAGCTGGAACGAAGCTCCTTTTAAAACTTTGAGCTCATATCATTAATACAATTTCATTTTAAACTGAATTTCTGGTTTCTGTGGTTTTATTTGCACACATTTACTCCTGCTCTTCCTCCTTCTGATTGCCCTCTAGGCTGCAGTCAGATCCTTAGCCCCTAGTGTGTTACATGTAGAGGATTGGAAGAGCTATGTAGTCACTTTTTATGCTATTATCTCTTCACATTAAAGTGTTTACTCAGGTCAACCAAAACAAAATATCAGTCGGTGTTGGAGATTTATAGCCAGGCTGGTGCCACTTAGTGCCTCCATTCAATTTAATTTCTCTCCAGCGACTAGGTCAGGAATCGGAATGCACTAGACAGTCTGCAAGAACCCCGGAAGTTGTAGACCAATTAGCGAAGAGCTGTAAAGCCATGACGTCAAACTCAAGCGCCTGACTCCCTTTTGTGGTACAACACACCAGTAAACAAAGTGGCCGAGATGAATGTAGACGAAGCCATACGTTCTGTGTTGGCAACGATTCCCGAGATCGAGGATTTAACGCCGGAATAAAGAGAATGTTTGGTGAATTTTATCATGGGAAAATACGTTATTGCCCTTCTTCCTACGGGATTTGGGAAAAGCTTAATATACCAGTTAGACCCGTTAGCGGCACATTACAATAGTCACAACCAAATAGCAGCAACTGGTTACATTAAAAATGTATACACCTACCGTCGAGCGAACAAATCCTAATGCTGCGAGGTCAGCTAAAAAGTTCAATAAGTTCAAATATCAGCCATATATCATCCTCTATTATGGAAGCTCTATTATTTTTCTGTTTATTTAGATTAAAGATTGAACTGTAATGCAAATGAGGTGTTCACTATTTTAATCAATAAAGATGCACTATGGAACTCTTCTGGTGTCCTGCTTGTCTCTCTGGAGATGTTATTGCTTTGAAAACTTCTAAGTACATTCCACAATATGGCTTTAAGCTTAATTATCTAAATAGAGGCAATCAGGTGAGGCCACCAGGAGAAGTTGTGGGTCAGATCTGTGAAGAGGCGAGTCCGCTCACAGTAAGAATACATGCTTTTAAGGTATTTTTAAGCAAGACAGATACATTTAATACAGCAGAAGAGTTACATAGTGCACCTTCACAAGCATATTGGATAGAGCTTGTGCAGGTAGTGATTTAACCAAGAAAAACTGTTGTAATAGCTTCTTTAAAATGTCTAATCGATTGTAGAATACGCACCAAATCAATGTATGGCCATATCTTGATATTATTGTATTGTGAGCCATCATATTAAATTGAGTGAGGGACCCTGTAATCCCCAACCACAAGATCAAAGCTACTATAAAAACATAATTAGATTGTAAAGTATTGTAAATTGTATTCTTGCACTGTTCCTATCATTTCCTGTTGAGTAAAGAGTCCAGTGAATGCACCAGCCCTCTCTGCAGTGCAAACATGATCACGCATTTCTTCCCTGATGTTCAAACAGCTTTCAGTGTTGCAGATGCTGAGTGCGACAGCCTCATCTTTGTCACGCTCGCTCTATCTCTCCACGCTCACACACACACACACACACACACACACACACACACACACACACACACACACCTGGGCGAGGGAAACCCCAGGACCCCTCCACCATCTGGCCCTGCTCAGCCTTTTAAACCTGCTGCAGTCACACCAACATCACCGGCTATCCAAGCAGGTGACATCATGTAGCCACTGTTTTGGCTGTGTCATCTTTCACCCTCCTCTCTGTAATACCTATTTCTGACAATTACACAGAATGTTTAAATATTCATGAGCGCAGGTGTAATTACCCAAACACACTCCAGTCTACACCCACATATAGAAACAGCCCGGTGTATGATCAATAGCTATTGATCCGGCCACCTTTGGCTTGTGTTGGCACAGACTCATGTTAGGCATAAAAATGTCCACACAGCCTCTCAAATGGAGACTTATGGCACAGGTCTGGAATCACAATTTGCTGTAGTCTGCAAGAGGAATCAGCTCACAAATAATTAAGACAGGTTAAAATGAAAATATAGCTGTTATAAATGGTTATTACAAAGGTATATCTTAGTAATTTAAAGTCTAAAGCCTAAATTTAACACTAAAATATAAAATCTGCACACATTTTTTCTAAGGTGTGTTGTAAAAAAAAAAAAAAAAAAAAAGAACCAAAAAATCAATTTAAAAAGTCTTAATGCGTGTTGAGAATTGTAATTTGAACGTTTTGAAACAATCTCACGCGCGAACTTTGCACATTAACAGCTCATTCACATGTGCAAAGTCACGCCTCAACTTGCACCACAAACTTGGTGGCTTGCTGCTACTCCCGTCCCCTTCGGTGTGTCCTCCTCACCTCTGTAGCACATGGCGATCCACAGCAACTCCACCACCTGGCCCCCGAACTCACACGCGTCCACTCCCAGCATGGCGCTCCGGTGCACGGGGCTGCTCCTGCCGCTGTCTGCACGATCACCGGAACCGAAGACGGACCGAGAACCGGGGAACCTCCTCCTCCACAGGTAGTGCCCAGAAAAGTAGACCGGCGGCGGCGAGCATCCACGAGGAATAGTGTGGAGAGGTGTGGATGTGTGCGTGCGTGAGGGGAGACAGCGCAGGGGAGGGGGTCCGTGGGCGTGGGTGCGTGGCAAGACAAGATGAAAAGGGGAAAACAAAAGCAAGCGCGCACGATCCGGCTCTTAAAACTTCTTCTTATGTGTTTTCAAGTGTTGCAACTCTAAAACAGCGGGAGTACGGAGCTCGGATGCTCAAGGAGGAGAGCCGGTGTCTGTGCGCAAGGCAGAGTGGTGCGTCTGACTCCGCCGGTTATCGACTCGCAGACGGACTGTGCGCTCCCCTCCACCCCCAGCCTCCACTGTCATCAGCCCGGAGACTGCAATGAGCTCATCCTTTACCCACCCCATCCCTTTATTTCTTTCTTTCTCTCCTCCGCCTATCATCCACCCCTCATGCCCCAGCAGCACCAACCCGTAGATTTGACTCCAGCCCTATGTCCACTGTCTTCCACCTATCCATCTTTCTCTCACTCACTCACTCCCCCTCCATCCCCAACACACACTCTTCATTTTTTCCCCTTTTTCTGCTTGCTTTTAGTGACCACACCCTGGCAGCACTGTATGCACACTTAACACACATATTCCATGTTAAACAAAGGATAGTGGGTCATATAGGTGTTACAGAATAAGATTTGACCGACAATCACCCTAAAAAGATGGAATATTTAGGAAACTGTAAAACTATTTAGCAAATAATTGTCCAATTCAATGAAACAGGTCATTTTCATATAGCCTCATCTAATGTATGTCCCCAGTTTTTTGTTGAGAATTAAAGATAAGAAAGCTTACACAGTTTGGACTATTCGCAAAATGAAATGACTATCAATCTTTTTATAGCTGATTAGGAAGGTACAATATATAATAATTCTGATGTGGGGATGTTATTCTTTGCCTGAAATATTCCTCAGTATGGCATTAAACTTAGGGTTAGGGTTAGGCACATTTGATTACTAAATTGGGGGTGTTTTTGTTGCTAAAATACCTTGAAAAACATGCATGAGCGGGGTTACCTTTCTACAAATCTGACCTATACCTTTCCCTTGACTGGCATTTCTCACTTGTTTCCATATAAAAGTTAAATGCCATGCTCTGGCACTTTCCAGGCAACAAAACTGCATCTCCATGGAGACCAGAAAAGTTATATGCTGCACATTTAAGCAATCAATTTTTTTATTTTTTTTTGCTAAAGTAATGTATTTATTTTAACCTTCATAATTCTCATCTTTCTTATTAAACTCCCATCTTTTTACCCAGTCTACTATTTTGGAAGTAAAATATACTTTTGACCATAAAACGTAAGTACAGTTCACAAGGCCCCCAGGATGAAGTGATAAAACTCCTGACACGTGAGCATAAATATCGAGCCCAGTTAGACTAAATGAATATGGCCATCTTGCCCTGGCTGTCACCCCTGTCCCCGCCAGCCCTGGATCTTTTCCCTGTCTGTCCTAAAGCAAGCGCAGCCGTAAAACTATTATATTTTTATTGCTTTACAGAAATATAAATCAGCTGCAATGGTCCCTGGTGCGGTGAATGGCATGTATAAAACGTGCGCTCCAACATGGACGCGCTGGACAGAGTTATAAGCCTGTCTGAGGCAAGTGCTCCCCAGAGGACGCAAACAGACGCCTGACACACTTTCAGGTTCAGAGGGAAAAACTCACAAAGAACCTGTCATAAGAGCTGCGGAGCTATTTTCACAGGTAGGGATAACTCAGAAATAATATTGAACATTTAGATGTGTTTAATGGTGCACTGTGTATCTTTTCTGATGGTGGGTCTTTCATCTCTTCTTTCTTCCCGTCTCCATGGAGGAATTATACCGGCTGGGATGTTTCACAGTATGGCATTAAATTGATCTAACATTTCGGAGACAAGCAGGTGACTCTACCAGGCCAAGTTACAGGTCAGATTTGTGGAAAGGCAAGCCCAGTCACAGTAAGAATGTTTATAGTCATCAAAAAACACAACTGATTGAAAATGCAAGGCAGATGTACATTTAATGCCATCCAGTGGAACAAATCAACATCACCATGGAGACAAAAAGATATTGGACCTCCACAAGAAAAGGTACATAGTGCACTTTATCATATTTTCATTGCTGAAAGTATGCATTCTTATCTGAGTGGGCTTGCCTCTCTACAGATTTGAAATATTTGCGCTGTTTGTGTCTCAATCTTGTTTTTATGGAGGTAAGTACGTTTAATGCTACATTGTGGAACATTCTAAGCAAAGCAGTAACATCTCCATGGAGGCAAATGAGTGGCAGACCCGCCGCTAGAAAAATGCAAAGTGCACCCTTAAAGTCAGCAACTGAGACAGCATTTTTTTTCTAGTGTAGTTGCTTACTCTAGCACATTTCTCTGCTAAATGTTTGTGATTTATTGATCAGAGAAAAATCTACACAAACGCAGGGAGGACATGCAAACACCGGGACCCTCTTGCTGTGAGGCGAGCTTTATCCACTGCACCACTGCTAAGGACTACTCCAAACTAGGCACAAACTTGTCGTGTCCAGTCAGTGTTTTTATATTCAGTCTTACACTTGGGTTTCTGAATGTGATTGTGTATTTACAATTCTATAAAGCCCTGCATAAACTCCGTACATAGTTAGTTGTGGCATACATTTCATATTCTATAGTATGCCCCTCTGCCTCAGTATCTGACAGTGCTGCTAACAACACTTCTAACACGTTAACACACCTCAAATTGAATCCCACACTGATATCACTGGGATTTGCAAGTGTAATTGCATTGATTCGCCAAGTTATTCCATTAAGCGGCGGTGCACAGGCTACGGTAATTGGCTTTTCTCTCCCATACACAGTCAGATATAGTATGTAAGCTATAGAGCAGGCTGTAGGAGCAGTGACTAAATGGTTTTCAGACTGCATAGTGGGCGGGTGGGAGCTCTTATCTGGGCCTATAGAGACGAGACACTAACCCAGCTCATGTGGACAGAAGCTTCAACCACCACAGACAGTTTCTATGTTTATATGCACATCAAAAATCTGATCATTATCTGATTTCAGGAATTACCAGAGCATTCAAACTCATATAAACTGGTACATCTGAAGTGAGTGATTGGATTTCTTTCTGATTGTTGGAAGATGTGCAGGTTTTTACAAGGAAATTCTGTAAAAAGGGGCACTAATAACTAATACGCCATCAAATTTGGAACTTTTTAACCTTTTTAAAAGTGAAAAAACCTAATACAAATAAAAATTGTAGTCACAGAATACTGAAGTATAGGTTTTCAGTGTTGTAGATGGAAAAATTCCCTTTAAATATTCAACTCACACACAATTTTACAAAGTTTTGTGTAAAATTTGCAGTGAAAAACAAATAATCTTCCATGCAACACCAAAAGTCTGATTTTATTGTGATTATGAGCTTATTCTAGTTATGTGGTTATTACTGGACTTGTAAATGTACACACTGACTGGTCTCTTACTGCACTACATAGAAAGAGATAGAGATGCTGCCATCTAGAGACAGTGACCAGGAATGAACAATATAAATTCATTTTTCTCATTCTCATATTTGTATTTTATTAATTCACAAAAATTATTTTCACAGATTTTTAAAAAAAGAACGTGTCTTTTGTTTAACAGTAGTCTTTCAAATGCTAAATTTGGAGTACCAAGAGCACAGAGATGTGGAAAATGAATGGTTGTAAATTGAAAAATCCTATGTATGTAAAAAATAATATTTCTTCATCAGCATGGTTGCAATTTTCCAGTATAAACGGTAAAAAAACCTAATCATTTATGTTGTTTTACATGTTCTGAAGTTAAGGTTTTCATTTTGATAATTTTTTTCTAAATAAAACAATTTTGGACTATTTCTTGAAATGTTAAAAATAACAGTGACATGAACAGTTTTTCGTGGATTTAAATACACCCATCGGTGCTGACAACATCTACACCATTTTGAGAGGTCAATCCATAACTTTCAACAAACAGGAGATAACACCAACACACATACATAATTTAAAATAAAACTTCACAAATTGAACAATAAATATTTTGTCGTCAGTCAGTGCAATATAATGAATGTGCTAACACTGTCTATAAAGTTCTTGAAAAAACTATTCAGAAGAGTCACATGGGAGAAGAACTAAGCACGTACTGGCATTAGAGGATCTTGTTTGAGGAGCTGAGTGATTATTTCTGTATAAAATAGCTCTACATTCATTATTTTTACGGGTTTTGTACCTTCTCAGTTACTGTTATTTCTGCATAGCTGGTGGTGGACAGTAAGGGCATCAGGTGAAATCAGTTCTTTGTGTTAGAAGTATGAGACAGTCTGTGAGTACTATGTCTGGGCCAGCTGCAGCTCCTCCAGGCCGTGTTTACCCAAGTGATAACGGGCGAGGTCTTTCCTTGTAACAAGTCCAACCACCTTCACAAGACAAAAGCTCAATTAGAATGAATAAGCTTATGTAAAAATTTGTAAAATGAATGCTATGAATTACAAACATACCCTGTTCTCGTCATCCACTACAACCAAGTGTCTGAGGCCAAGAGCTCTGAACAACTTGAACACACGGGGCAAAGATGTATCCTGCAGAAAACCGTAAATTAACAGCAGTAGATTAATAGTTAGGTAATGAAGGTTTATAAACACAAATTCAATTTTACAAAATGAAGGATCACTTTTGTCTCATAGCAACAACATTACATAAGATTATTATTTTCAGCAGTGCTTTTGTGCCCTTTTGACCCGACTTAAATTTTAAATTGGTTAGTGTTAAACTTTTATTCAAGGACAGGCTCTCTGCCAACAATCACTTGTACAACTATGCTTACCTACTACTATTCATGAGTTTCACACAAACAACTCCTTCCTGAACTGAAGTACTTTGCGAGGACCTTTCCCCATTCAAAAGATCCGAATAGCTATAACCACGGAGGACAGCTGCGATGGAAAGGCATGAATATACACATATATTTATACAATTTCATACATAATATTGAGTAATAATTATCTAAACTGACCAGATACTTTTAAAATAAGATAAGATAAGCTTAAGGCTGAAGTACCTGATTTTCAACCCTAACCCGGAAGTTAGACTAGCTCGTTCGTAGGTCAAAAGCCCTTTGGCACATTGCACTTAATCACATGGCCATTAGCACAGCTTTGGAACCTCTTTTGTTCTAAATGAAGCAGGGTGGACCACCAAAGCTCAGCCCCCATTTTCCATTATATAAAGCCATGTAGTGACTGAAATGGATCTAAATGGCAACAGATAAATTGTTTTCTAATTAGAAGCCAGTGTGTACTGGTCGGCATTGTCATAAAGTTCTGCTTTTACAATACACTTTCTAGGGGGAAAATACAGAATAAAAAAAAAAGTTGGGCAATGCAGCTTTAAGATAGTTGTGTGAAAAGTTAAAGTTTGATGCAGTTTGTAACACGTCTGGATATGCACTAGTCTAATGGTTGAACACATTTATACACACAGAAGACATCAAATATATGAAGAAATATAGAATTGTTTAGTAAAGAAAAAAGTTAAATAATTCTAGTAAATATTTTTAAACAAAGTAAAGGGTAAATTTGAGGATTTGGTTATAAAACATTAACATTAAAACACAAATCTTACTTCATATAATTGATGTCGTCTGTATGTATAGAAAATGTAGAAAGTAGAACACACTGAATGAGAGGGGGACTGAAAACTTCTCATAGTGGAACAGTGTAGGTGGGAGAGTGCCAATTCTGTACCTTGGTATGTTTTTTACTGTTGTTTACGCTTACCTGTGGGACTGTGTATGGCGTGGGGTTCATAAACTCTGTGAGATCCATCATGCACTCCCTCTCGTCCTGGGACACGTGGATGCTTTGGATCGGGGGGAAGCGCGGGTAAGCGTCTCTAAAGTCTTTGAGCTGGAGTTTTCTCTGTGTCAGACGAGAGCGGGCCAACTCCACAAACACCTATGCGGACAGGACCAGTGCCACTTTGAGTAAGTCTTTTTAAATCCCTCAACATTGTTCATGCGTGACTGGATGTACCTTGTGTTTGAGAAGAACAATGAGCTGAGAGCGAAGAATCAGGCCACACAGCTTCCCTGGCTGAGAGATAGAGAACAAAGAATTACTGAACAGATCAGTAAAAATAAACAGTCAAATCTAAAAGAGCAAGTTCATCTGGGGGAATTCTCTAACGGGGCAGTAGTTATAAATAGAAGGGTTTATAATATTATTACATTAAATTCAGCCTCTTTAAAAGCAGTAGTTTCCCTAATGACTCACTGCTGTGTAACGCCATGTGACTACCATGATGCTGCATTTATCATAAGGAGGAAGTGTCTGGTAGAGTAGGTCTATTTTATACAGTACCTCATCATTCCCAAGGGTCTGTACCACCACAGGGAAGCCGTTGTGATTGGTGGAGGTGTTGCTAAGCGTATCCACAATGGTTCCAACCTTTTCTATCCGGTTCAAACAGGTCACAGGAGAGCTCATCACTTCTCTGGAGAAAACAATGATGTTCAGTTTTCAAAAAGACTGAGGCAAGCATGCCTGCGGGGTTGTGTAGGACAGATCTCTACCTGGCTGTGAGCCAGTGGGACGTGGCAGGAGCCTCCCAGTGCAGGAAAGGAACGCTCTGCAGTTTAATGTGGATGTCATATAGACCCTGAACAGTGACAAACAATGTACTAAACATTAGTACAATGTATAACAGTGCAAAATAGTACTACCAATGTACCATGAATATCATTATATAATTTTTTAATTGTGAATTCTTATTTTGAAAGAATAGTATATAGAAGACGTTGCCCATATGACTTACTTCAATAAAGTAGTCCCCAACTATCTTGGCTGTCATCAGCACTAGCATGATAGGCAGACCATAGGTGACATTTCCTGTAGCCTCCACCATGATGACTGTCAAACTTAATGTCATTCTCACAATTCCACCTGTGGTAAGAAAAGATGAATAGGTCATTTAAAAAATAAAGCAATCGTACTTTTCAGAATTGTTTATTGACAAACCTAGCTGAGCTGCAGCTCCAATCAGAGCATATCTACCTGGGTCAGCCCATAACTACCACAACAGGAAAAAAATGTCATCAATCAAGATTGATCATTATCTAACTTTGTTTGTGCTGAATTCTCAAAGTGAAAATATTATTATTGATATATAGTTCCTTCACAAATGATTTCCGTGTGTAGTTGTACTAACTGAACCACTGGATGAGATGGAGGCCAGAAGAATTCCACACAGCCTCCCCCAGGCAGCACCGATGAGCAGAGAGGGGATGAAGACCCCCGCAGACACGGACAGGCCATAGGTCCAACAGGCCAGGAAGAAGTAGGTGAGAGTGAACAGACCCAGGGTCAGAGGGTTGTACGAGCCTGGGTAACAAAAGAGGTTAAATGAGGTGTTTCTTATATGATGATTCAATACCACACCCACCACAATCCCTCTAATTATATGTATCTGTTGTGTAATTAATTTTTTTGTAATAAAAGATAACTGTTCAGTTAATAGCACACAGAAATTTTAAACTTTAGTCATCTTAGTATCTTGAAATAACAATTTTATTGGATCTAATGATCTTAAATCAATGGCAGAAAGAAATCCTAGAGCCACCAATGATACAGCTTTTTTTGCAACCATGTTTAGTGTTGGATAGTTCAGACTGCAGCGGATTGGCAGCTTTTATTTGTGTGAAAGAAACTTCACCTGGCTGGTTGTGGAAAAGACTGCGGACACTTCTCTCAGGAGTGTTGAAGAAGGCTGTGGCCATGGCATTATACTCCCCATCAGAACAGAATAACTGAATCAAAGACAAAGTTATTTTAGGGAATCCTATAAGCAGTATTTACAAAAAATATTACCAACTGTTTTTGAAAAATCACACATTTTAGGTAAACATGATAATTAACATCCCATAATGCATTACAGCGTGACTGTGCACCTGCAGTGGGTACTCCTCGTTGTTCTCAGGAGCCAGTGGCTGACAGTCATTAGAGAAATAAATCATTGTGAATGAAACTGTAGCCGTCACTGCAGCCACGAGCATAGCCTCCATTACTTGCAAACAGGGTCGATGAATGTATCTGTAGTAAATAATAAACATTAAAGATAAAATCTGATAACGTCACATCCAGGACTTTCCCTAGTACTAAGAATAAAAAGGCAGGTTTGGGTTAATGCCTTCAGGCTACAGGTGCAACTCTTGTTCTGCTTATGAAATGTGTCAGATGACTGAAAGAGTTATTTAGATCAAGACTTCCCAGACAGGTACAACATATGCACACAGATATGAAAACACTGTCACTTTACAGCAATCACAGGCTGCTTGTTATGTCTAAATATAGTTTGAACTGACTTTTTTTTTTTTTAGATGTTCTGATCTGGTGAGATATTCCCTTCTACAAAAAAATAACATGTCCTGTTTTTGTTATATCCTGTTGGCGAGAGGTCATTCAGTGGCTATGTTCCAATGACTCATCAATCCAAAATAGATATTACACAATTTCTGGCTAATAGATTATAAAAGTACTAAAAACAAATTAAGATTAAGTTTGAAATGTTACTGTGATACTTTTTTGTATTATGGTGTTTGGGTGACTTCGCATATGGCAGCCACTCGACCTGTTCTCACCCTTCAATCAGCAGAGGCTTTTTCTGGGAAGGTGCCACTGAAAACTTCCTTCTGCTTAACCCCACCCAGTCTTTGACAGCCATCATCATACCACACTATTGTTTTTACTGGCACATGGTTTAACACAAAGCACATCTTCACTTAATCTTTGTTCAAACTTTCTACCACATTTATTTATTTCTGAATGTACCTGATCCTGAAAATGGTGAGCCAGTAGTTCAGAAAATTGAATAAAGCTCCAAGCAATCCTCCTGCAGAGACATTAACAAGGAAATAAAAACGCTGCTTAAATACAGAGATTATATTGTCAAGACTTTCTGCTTACCTATAGCGCCCATAGCAATAAAAAAGGGAATCTCATAAAAGTTGTATGCCAAACTCTGAAAAGATCAATTTGCACAGTTAGGTTGACAATACAATTAAAATATACAGAAATACTAAAACAATGACAGTGGAAATATGCAACAACCCCAGCTAAGATCTATGAAACTATAATATTTCAAACATATTTTAAAAAGACACAGTTAAAGGCTTATAATTTCACAGTATTGTTGATAATTGTGTCTTAAATATGGGTCCTACCTCACTTTCAAAGCGACCAAAGTTGATGAGACCAGGATTTGAGAGATCCCCAGGTTTCTGATGATAAATACTCAAGAAGAAATTCAGAGTAAAGGTAGAAATCATGGAGGCAAAAAACTAGAAGAGGAAAAAATGCCATCAAAACAAGACAAAAAGATAGAAAGAAAAAAAAAAAGACAAGCTGCAAACTGCCATTAACAACCAAAAAATTCTGTGTATACACAACATTTGGACACACTCTTCAAGGTTATTCATGTTTTGTTTTTTTATTTATTTATTTTTACTACTTTCTACATTTTATATGCATACAGAAAACATCATATATAGACATTCATATATGAAGTAAGACATTTTATGCAGCAAAGAAAAAAACTTAAATAACTCTTAATAAATCCTCTTGTTAAACTGCATTGAGACCTTTGACTGAGACACAAAGGTGAGTGAGAAGCGCAGTGGAAATGTTGCAGCAACAGCAACTGCAACAGTTTGCTGCAGTAAAACTTGATTTTCCCTCGGGATCAATAAAGTATCTCTCTCTCTCTCTCTAAATGTATTTTTCACATTTTATATCCAAAACCTCAAAGTAGCCACACTTTGCTTTGTCAAAAATACTCAATAGGGTTATTTAACTATTTTTTTTCAATACATAATTCCATAGATCATACTTCATATATTTGATGTCTTCTAGATGTATAAAAATGTAGAAAGTAGTAAAAATAAAGAAAGAAAACATTAAATGAGATGGTGTGTCCAAACTTCTGACTGGTAGTGTATTCTGTATGTAAACTGATGACATGACTCACTATCCTCCATGTTAACATCTGGTTCCAGAAAGATGCTCCTTCCTCAAGAGAGAAAAGTACCCCACCTGTTGATCAAAAATAAAGATATGTTAAACCAAACCTGGGCATTGTACAGCTCCCGGGTCACGTACGGCCCTTTGGTTCACTCTGACTGGCCTGTTTAATCTCATTTGGAGCTACAAAATAAACATATGTTATAATTTTACCTCATGCATGGCCTAAAGCTGCATTGCTTTTATTTTAGAGGTGTTTTAGAGGTGTAACATTTTTGTAAAGCAACCTCACGTTTTCATTGCTTAGTCACAACATAAACTCTTACCAGTTTTACCAGCTTGTCAAAACAATGCTATTTACTGCTTTTTATAAAGAAATACAATGAATATGATGCAGAATTGGGTTAAGCATTTTGGCCCGGTCCTCCAAAATATTTTCTGTTTCTCATGTGGTCCATGGAAAAAATAATTGTCCACCCTGTGCTAAAATATATTTGCTTTATAGCTGTGTAAGGGCCCATGTAATAGATTAGAAACAAACTGTAGCTATTCACCAACAGGAGCTCCAAAAGCCGCAGAGACACCGGCTGCAGCTCCGGCTGAAACAAAGTCTCTCTTTTCTGTGTCACGTCGGAAGTACTCAAATATCTGCAAACAAAAGAGAGCCATTTATTCTGCGCTAGAGAAAATACTGTCAGAATGAAAAACTGTATGTCACATCGTAAAGTGTGACCTAGTACAAGTATATAAATGTACAATGTGTGTGTGTGTTGAATGCGTACCTTAAAATCTCTTTTTAAGGATGTGCTGCGGCCCTGAGACACCCCAGCTGCCACAACAGCACCAGAGTGGATCATGGGACCTTCCTGAAAGAGTTTGGGATCAGAGAAAAACATTACAGTGAATTCCAAGCTCTAAAACTATAAAGTATCAAACACACACACAGACCCACATGTTGTTTCCATGCTTTAAAGGTATTATTGCGCTATTATCTGATCTATGCTGCAATATTTCCTCATTGTGTTGTTTCATTCACACAAACTCTGCTTTTTCAGGCTGAGCTCTTCTCTCAGACTGAAAACACTCTGTTCCACTTTGCAATATCATGTGATTATACAGGAAGAGCTCCACGGCATTTTTAAACTTCATACAGCTTCACTAGAATCATTTGGATGATTTCAGAACTGTAATTGCAAATATTTACTGAACTAAAGGTGAAATGTAGCTGTTAACTTGAAAACTACTACTGCACAACAAGGTGGATCAGAGCATTTTGAGATTTTGGAGTTGACCAATAATAAAGGATTACTCAAACATGTGTGAATGAAACAAGACACAACTCGAGGAATGTTTTTGATGAGGTAACAACATTATAACACGGCTTAAAGCTCACAAGAGTCCATTTTGTGTAATATTATTAACTCATTGTGTAATAACAAAGGACGGTAACACTTTAGTTTAGGGATAGGGACCAAATATTAATCGCTAACTAAGTGTAATTGGTATAATAGTTGTTACTTAGCTATTATTTGGTATTAATTAAACACTTATTAATGCTTATTAAGATGTCATTAGATGTACAAAAACATCTATTGTGATCTCCACTACTTTAATGTGAAGAAAATAGTTAATGGGTTATACTAGCCTGATTCATCAGCCGGTTAGACTTAGTGGAAACCATCTGACCTTTAGGATGGCATTAGGATTCGTTCACTCGATGGTAGGCGGGTACTTTTTTCATTTAACCAATCGCAGCTGTTTGGTCATGACATATGTAATGCGCCGCTATCGGGGCTAACTGGTATATTAAACTTTTCCCAAATCCCATAGGAAGAAGGGCAATAACGTCTTTCCCCTTGATAAAATTCGCCAAACATTCTCTTTGTTCCGGCTTTAAATCCTCGATCTCCAGAATCATTGCCAACACAGAATGTATGGCTCTTCGCTGATTGGCTGGTGCCTGAACTCGCACTTCCAGAGTTTTAGCGACCCATCTATTGTATTTTGATTCCTGACCTAGTTGCTGGAGAGAAATGAAATTGAGCGGAGACACTAGGTGGCGCCCGCCTGGCTAGGGTTATACAGCTTAAGGCAAAAATGCATTGAAAGTACTTTATAAATATACTAACACAGTAATTAAAAGCACTTATCATGAATTTTACTATTAACTAGCTATTAATATCTGGTCCCTAATCTACAGTGTTACCCAAAGGATTTATGTCACATGGGCCGCATTTTTGTTCCCATGAATTAGTTCTGTATACAGGTTTAGGCGCCACAATGTGATAAACACCTGCTCAGAGAGTGATAACATTTTATAGCTTTTGTTTTTTTCCTGTTGAAGTTATGAGTGCCCTTCCCAGAAACTTTTGGTAAAACCTGGACCGTTGCCAGCTACTCACATGGCCAACTATTTGCATCTTAAGACATGCCAGAGGTATGATTACAGTGATAGATAGATACACTTAATTAGTCTTATCAAGGAAGAAAGTCAGTAATGTCATATCAAGTGCTGTATTTTCTATCTCTCTGAACAGATATTTGAGCAAAAACCTGAGCATGGATATGAAAAAAGCCAGTATTGTCATATCAAGTTCTGTATTTTTTGTCTCTCTGAACAGACATTTGAGCAAAAACCTGAGCATGGATATGTAAAATGGATATGTTTATGTAGAGTTGCAGTCCATTAGTTGCATTCAGTGACCACATCGTTTCACTTACCTTTCCTACAGCGAGTCCACCGACCACAGAGCATATGACACCAAATACTTTTACAACCAGAGTCTGTCAAACACACAACAATTTAAACATTATTATATGACACTGTAATAATACAATGCGCGTCCAATTGCAATGTTTACCTTGAGTCGCACCACCCTTGGAATCTTAACACCATTAAGGTAACATTTGATTTGAGGTATGCCACTCCCTCCTGCTATAGGCTATGAGAACAAACACATAGAACAATTATAACCCAGAAAAAATTGGCTGAGTAGTAAAAAGGAATTTGTACGAGACAAGATAAGTGAAGTACGCCCTAGAAAATAAGGAAGAATTTTACCACAATTATCACTATTACACACAGTGGGAATTTTAAACTTGTTTCACTTCAACAACACTTGTGGGCATGAAATATTACTGTTGGTATTTGCTGACTTGTTCAAATTTATATGGAAAGCCACAAGGACTGATTACTCAATTACTTTGATTCATAAGACTGTAAGATTGACAAGTACAATGTTATTTTATCAGTATACTTTAAAGGGCCCATATTGCCCTATTTTCTTATCTATGTTATAATGTTGTTTCCTCATCACAAACATACCTGGAGTTGTTTTGCTTCATTCACACGTGTTTAACACACAAATCTGGTATGTTTAGGGTGTGTTCTTCTCTACACCTTGTGATATCATGTGGTAATACAAGAAGTGCTCCACTATGTTTTTAAACTCCACACGCCTATTTCTACTGAACTAAAAGGTAAAAGGAGCTGTTACACTGAAAATTATCACTACATGACAAGGTGGAACAGAGCATTTTGAGAGACATTTTTTAGACAAGACTATTAATAAAAGATCACTCATACATGTGTGAATGAAACAAAACACAACTCCAGGTACACTACCGGTCAAAAGTTTTAAAACACCCTAATTTTTCCAGTTATTTAATGCAATTCAAGTCGTGCAAGTCTGATGAAAAGCTTAAAATGGTACAAAGGTAAGAACTGAACAGCCAGAAGTAAAAAAAAAAGATAAAATATAACAAAACACAAGTCCAAGCTCTGCCAAAACTACCTCAGGAAAAAAGAACAACATTGTAAACTTGAAATAAGGGAACTTCTGCAACAGACTTGGGAAGACGTTTCTGAAGAATATTTGATTTCTATTGTAAAAAGAACGAGCCACGAGTGTGTTCTGCTGTTATATCTGCCAAAGGTGGACACTTGCATGAATCAAAAATTTTGAATATGTTTTGGTAAACAGTACAAAACTGGAAAAAAGTTTGGAGTTCTAAAACTTTGGACCGGTAGTGTATTTTTGAGGAGGTAACAACATTATAACATGGCTTAAAACTTACAAGATCCTATTTTGTGTAATACAGTATGTGGAAATGTTGCCTTCGGGATCTCACCTCAAAGAATGCTACTACAATGGAGCCCAGCATGACAACAGCAGCATTGAAACCGGCCCAGAGGATAAGAGAGATAGAGAGACCGCCTGTTTCTGTAAACTTCACGATGTCTGTCAAAGGTCAGAGGTTAAGGAATGTCTACTATGTCATGTAATCACATGGCTGACAGACAAAAGCAAGTTTAATCTGTCTTCTTGCCGTTTACTAGTATCTCAGTATTGATACTTTAGTGACATCGTGCTGGGGGTGTTCTACATGTGTCTGCATTGGCATGGTCACACAAAGCACATATTGGCAAACACAGACAAAAAAAGTTTTAAGACTGGCTGAAAACTCATGAAAAAACAAACAAAATGGATTTAAATAACACATTTTCAGGAGCCTGTGATCAATGAGTGTTCATGCTCCTGCTTTAGGAGTTTGATTTTCAATATAAAGGTGTGAGTGACAACCTGAAAAACTGTAATTTTACGTAAGAGAGACAAATTTAGGTGCAGAATTCATGTCACCTGTTGTAGCTCCAACCAAGTCAGCACATTCTGGTGTTAAAACTTGAGTAACAGAGCTTCAATTAAAAAAGTGTTTTAAGTTAGCTTCACACCCCCAGGCAATGTTGATGACAGTAGCTGTTGTTTTTAGTTAACCAAGAATTTCTTTAGTCACCCACAGCCCTACAGTCTATTAGTTAGGAGTTAGGTGTGCAAAAATATTTAAATATTGATATATTGTATCTTTTAATGTGATGATACAGTATTGATATCGGGGACTGCTGTATCAATATATCGCCAAAAGTATTTTTTGGTATATTTTGTTAAATAATTTTGTTACAATGCTACGGTTTTGTTGCTTGTTTGAAGGAAGGAAACTTGTTTATGTGACACATTTGGCATTTTTACTGTTTTGATGATTAAAATGGGCGTGTTTCATATTAACTTTGCACCAGAAGTGGTTTCACAAAGACTTTTAAATATCACAGCCATGATTTAGCCATTATTTTTTATTGATCCGTATCGAATTGATTTGAAATATATCTTATCGCATTGAAAGTGCCGTATCTGCAAATTCTTAATGATACCCAGCCCTAATATTTGTAGTAGTACCATTACTAATACACGTGAAGTTAAACCTTTTAGGGTGTCAAGATTGTGAGCTCAATTTGTTGATGTAAAATTGTTAAAGATCTGCAGTTGTTGAAAATGAGATCAGGATACTTTTTTTGATGACTTCATATTTGAGGCCTGCCAGGTTTTCCACTGCAATATCAATGAGACAGGCAATGAGCCCTGTTAAAATGCCGATGAGACCACAAACCACCCAGCGACTGATCTCCAAACAGCGGAAACCCTAAGGACACAAAAATGAGTACAATTATATAGGATTATATCATATTATGAGTGCACGTGGAGGTGTGTAGGTTTACTAATAGTTCTACTAATAGTTCAATTTAGGTTTTACCATGTGACTCATCCGCCTTTCCTCCTCAAGAAACAGCTGGTTCTCAATGTTATCATAGTCCAGACCCTGAGAAAACAGAAAAATATATCCATCTAAACCTTGAAAATTGATTTTCATATATATGTTTGCATATTTCCCAGAAACCACATTTTAGCATGTCTAAGAAGAGAGGAATCTAAAGTAATAAACTAATACAAGAATCCTATGCATTTGGGAATGTTTATAGACATGTTAACTACAGGGTTAGCAGGTTAAATACATGATAATAGCTCATGGACACATAATAAGGTTTCTAACTATTTTATATTGCAACAGATACTGCAGTGAATAATAGTGTGTAACTGGTTGTGAAAACTTACTTCATATTTAAGAGAGAGCAGCTTTTCATTGTGAGGGATTTCGCGGGTTTGTCCTCTAATTGACTCCTGTTAGAAAAATAACAAAATGTATCTTTAAAAACACTGAAAACACTTACACGAAACTGTCACCCAACCAGTCGTTTCCAGACATACTGCTTTTATAATTCTGTAAATACATGTTTCATACAGTGCAAAGAAGGAGGTGTGGCAAGTGGTAACATGCACATAAGACACAAGACAGCTGCAGGCACACAGCAACTACAACTATGGCACTATGCAAAACAGAGAAATAAAGGTTTAATTATGGCAAGTCACATGCAAAACAATAAAATGAATCAGATGTTCCCTAATTAAGACAACAACATGAACATTTTGCACATTTAAATGAAGACACAATTCTACAACACAACCTATTGAACTTTTATGGAAAATAGATTATGTTCATGACACAGTATTCTAGGATGCCTGTCACTTGAGCTACAGGACAGTAAGGGTTTGCAAAAATATTGAAATATTGATATATCGTATTGTTTAATGTGATGATACAATATCGATATCGTGGGCTGCTGTATCGATATATCACCAAGAGTATTTTTTCGTTTATTTTACTCAATGATTTTGTTACAGAGCTACAGTTTTGTTGCTTGTTTAGAGGACGAAAACTTGTTCATGCGACACATTTGACATTTTCACTGTTTTGATGAGTAACTTGGGTGTGCTTCAGATTAACTATGCACAAGAAGTGGTTTAACAAAGAGTTTTAGTATCACAGCCATGATTTAGCCTTTATTTTTATTGAATATATTTGTATCAAATCAATTTGAAACATATCGTATTGAATCGAAAGTGCACTGTATCGTGATATGTATCGTATCATGGCCTATATATCGAGGTATGTATTGTATTGGCAACTTCCCAGCCCTACAGGACAGGGCAGAACTCTGTGGTTTAAAATAATCTAGTTTATGGTCATCTCTCATGAAAGTGAAATTATGAAGCTCCAGAAAGTTGTACAAATATTCAACCCCAAAGACGTGATTGTTGTGCAAAGGACTTTAAGTCATAAGATTAATATGGCAAGAAAACTAAAAATAAGAAAACAAAAAACTATTTTCTTCATTATTTGTCTCCAAAACCAAAATGAAAAAACAGATAACGGTTGTTTCCCGTTTCCGTGACTTAAACTGCGATGCCAGACTTTTGCACTGCATACGGACTGAACCAGGACTAAAAGAGGACTAAACTGGTCCCGGTCTCACTCCAGGTCTCACTCCAGGTCTCATTCCTGGTCTGGTCCCGGTCTCAGTCCAGTCTGACCCCGGTCTCGGTCTCGGTCTCGGTCCCGGTCTCAGTGACGGTCTCGGTCTCAGTTTCGGTCTCAGTCATGGTCTGGTCCTGGTCTCAGTCTTGGTCTCAGCCTTGAGTCTCAGTCCCAGTCTCAGTCCCGGTCTCAGTCCTGGTCTGATTTCCGGTCTGGTCCCAGACCTGGTTCAGTCCGTATGCAGTGCAAAAGTCCGGCATCGCAGTTTATGTCACGGAAATGGGAAATTTTTCCATTATTCATTTAAACACAAAATCAAAAACTGAAAAAACAAATTGTTATCTGTTTTTTCATTTAGTTTTTTTGTTTTCTTATTTTTCGTTTTATACTGAAAAACAAATGAAGAATGATACACGGATTCTTAACAAACAATACTAAGGTTCAAAGTGTTTGGGACGTACAATATGTTTGGATATTTAAAACAACAAATCTCCCATAAAGATATATTGCCCCTGTCATGCATCTGAAATTATGTCATGAACACAACCAATTTCTTAACAATGAGGTCAACCTTTATAAACAATGCCTGTTTCTAAAGGTTTACAAAAGCATGAGATTTGAATCAATTACTGATTAGAAACGCATTGCCGACATGACAGCGGCTTCCCAGTCATGTGCTTTCCACACACACTGGATGAGTCAAGCTGGCTGCTATTGGCTGCTATCTGATTATTTTTCCACCAAGTTTGCTCAGAAGGCCTATATGTAACTAGAATATCTCATGGCCTACGAAGTAAAAGCCGGGCTACAAGCAGGAAAGTTGACACTGAATAAGATTTAGCTAAAATAGAAGAGATACGGACATAGAGAGTAAGGCGTTAAGGTTTTCTTTTCGGCTGCACTTTACCTCATCTGCTGTTATTTCCTCCTCCAATTCCACCGTGGACAGTCTGCCTATCTGAAATAAACTTCCTCCTCCAGACTGCTGAAGACCACACACACCAAATACACAAATGTATGCACCTCTCACTATGGACCATGTGTGATGCTTAGAATCATAAAAGGAAGCAGCAAAGTCTCACCAGTGTTTCCCATTAATCATGCAGAATATATAATCAAATTTTTGCCCCTGTAGCCTAAAAGAAGCTGGCAATATATTGGCATAAAGACATTACGCATTTAGCTTGTTGCGTAATCATCATACATATATGGGAGTAACTTTATGTTTTAATAAATTACACATTTATTCAAATAAGGATTTCCTGTGCCATCAGTCTCAGTATTAACCTGTGGTAAACACTACTCACTGACTATGTTTGCTTAAAATTTATGTCAATACAACTAAAATCTACAGAACTGCATTTTTATCCTTTTGATTAGTCAGTTAAGATCTTCAGAAGTGACACCATATGTTAGCTAATAAGATCTAGAAAACAGGAAGTTGTTTCTTCTGTAAAAGGTAGATTTTAATACAATGGTTATTTAATCATATGGTGATAATGTAACACAGTAATATACATGGTCATGGGTACGATTCAGTTAAATATATTAAAAAGACGTCATCATGTTCACTTGTGATCATCATGTCCTAATTACTCCCTTGATGACAGTCATTAGTAATAATGACAGCAAATCAAATTCAGTCCCATTCCCAAAAGGCTGCAACATAACAAGCACAAAACTGCACGCCTGGTGATTGCTCTGTTTGATCAATCATGCACAAAAATAACCACGTTAAACTGGGCCAGGCCGGTGCTGCTGCTGCTGCTGATGCTCTGGACCATCATGTACCTGTCTGGAGGGGAAGCGGGGCTGCTCGGGTCCGTTCAGCAGCGGTGTGCCCTCCCCCGCCGCGGCCGCTGCAGAGTCGTCCGCCCGGCTCGACCACGACACTTTCTTGGTGATGTTGGCCATGTAAGCCCCGGTCTGCGCGATTATTTTTAGTTTCAAATGAGCATAGACTACAGCGACCCTTCGCTAACACTTTATTGTTATTGTTCCTCAACTCCCAGCCATGATCATCCCCGCAACTCGTGACGTCTACGGCGAGCGCGGACGGACAGAAAGTTTCAGCGTTGCATGATGGGACTTGAAGTTTAAAAGTCCAATATTACGCAAAATGTACTCTCGTTAACTTTAATCCACGTTAGATTACTGTTGCGTCACAAAAATCATAACAGGAGTTGTGTTTTGTTTCATTCACACATGTTTGAGTAATCCTTTTATTATTAGTCTCCAAAGCTCAAAATGCTGTTTCACCTTGTGATGTCATGAAGCAGTAGTCAACACCGACCACTTAAGATAAAATAATACAAATTATTAAAACAGGTAAAAGCCTACAAGAAAATGTATTCCGTAAACAACAGCTAATATTTTCTACCAAAAACAAATTTTCTATTTACAAATTTTCTACCCAAAATTACCAGAAACAAACAGATAAAAAATAAACAAAACAATAATACATGTTGTCATTATAATTGAAAAATGTAAAAGTTACTCAATACAGACAGACAGGCACAAAAGGAGTAGGCTAGGAGAACATTTGTGAACAGCTGGCAAAAAATAAATAAAAAATAAATTGTGTGTATTATTTTATAGTGCCATAACTAGCGCCTGCTCATTTGCATGGTACTTTTTTTGACCCTGTGTGACTTTAATTATCTATAGTGTGACAAAGTTAATGTGCACAGGAAGACTTCTGCAGTAAGTGTTCTGCTTTTTCATGCAATGTCCCAATCCTGGAATTACAGAGTTATTTCCTATTTTAAGATGAGTTCCTCGAAAGGTTAATGTGTGTGTGCTACAAGCTATTAGCATATAGCAAAATAAAAACATATAATATCTGCAACTTCGAGCTTACTTGTTTAAATATATTTTAATTTTTCTCTAAAACAGACGTGGTTTTATTTTTTTCCACTTTCACCTGATTGTGTGAAATTGTTTAAAAGTGCATTTCAGTTTCAGTTTTACAATGACTAACCGGAATCCACAATTACCACACCATCTGGAAATAACACTAGTGTCAACATCAAGATCAAAATCCCTTTTTTGCCTTAGACAAAGATGAGGGACGCCTGACCAAGTAGTTGATAGACATGTTTGACAGATTCTAGTCTATTTCCATTTGACTTGTTTTAAGCTTTTTATTTTGTGAGATTTCATGGTTTCTGGACTTAACAAAGCAATTTGATTCTGCAGACATGCCAAGAGACGAGAACACACCACTGCTGAGGAGAAGGCAAGAAAGGGTAGGATATTTTAAAAGTATTTGATTTGTTGCTTAAACGTAATCAAACTTCCTTTCCATTAGTTGTGACACTGTAAATTTTTGGTCTCTTAGCAATATTGTATTTCTGTTTTCTGACTTAAGACCTCCACGTACCCATACAATATTTTTGTCTGTGACTTTAGATCTGTCATTTTCTTTTAAAGTTGAAATAAATCTGCTCATCTGCACATAAACCACATAAAGAACATTTTGGAAATACAAAGTGAAATCCATGGTTTTTTTTTGTACAAAGTGACTTGATTAATTCACCAAAGTTAGAGAATATTCCTACTTTAAGTTGTTGCAGTTCACACATCACATTTATATGTTGCAATGAGAAAAAAGCATTTTATTATTGCAACTTAAGATGAATACAAAATTCTTCATGCCACACGCTGTAAAGAACTGCATATAGGCTCAAGGGGAATGTGCAATTAAAACTGCACATAGGCTTAGGGAATGTGCAATTATTAATAGAATACAAGAATGCAAAGGGCTTGCCTGTTAAGAATAATTTAAAGGTCCTGTTGGTGCATCACTCGTGGTCATACTTGATCTCATATTTATTCTGTTCTATGTGGTGCTTGTGTTGTGTTGTCCTGTTTTTTGATAAAGCATGTTACTCCCTGTCCCAAGACAAATTTATCTTATCTTATCTTAAAATGTGTATAATTAGTATATAGTTAGTTTCTTATATAGTCTACTGTAATACAATCAAATTGGAAACTGTAAAAGTGATCATCTAATATACACAAATACATCTAATAATGGTTTTGCTGACTTCCAGATCCGTAACTCCAGACTGTTCCTGGCCGTCTTCTCTGCTGTCCTGGGAAACTTCAGCTTTGGTTACTCCATGGTGTATCCGTCCCCTGTGCTCCCTGTGCTGCAAGCCCCTGATGCTGACCCCAGACTGAGGATGAACACCTCTCAGGCTGCATTGTTCGGCTCCATCTACACGCTGGGGGCCGCGGCCGGGGGGCTAGGGGCCATGCTGCTCAACGACAAAATTGGACGAAAGATGAGCATAATGTTATCAGCAGTGCCGTCATCTATTGGGTGTGTTCTGGGATTGGGAATACAGTAATGATTTATGATTTATATAGACTATGGAAGTTGATGTTTTGATTGTCTTTCCTAGGTACATGCTGATGGGAGGTGCTTTTAACCTGCCCATGCTTTATGTGGGACGGTTCCTTACAGGTTTAGCTGGAGGAATGACTGCTGCATCCATTCCAGTAAGTCATTTGTCAAAGTTTATTTATTTTCTTTGTATTTATAATAGCTTGCTAAACCTACTTATGACTAGTGTGCAGTGATTTAGAGAGTAATTTAGTAGCAAATCAAAACAATGTCTTGTCTCTATCAGTTTTCTATCAGAAAACATATGCTTTTTCTGGTATTTTGCATTAAAAAGCCCATATTGTGCTATTTTGTGAAGTATGTTATAATGTTGTTCTCATCAAAAACATTCCTGGAGTTGTGTTTTATTTCTTTCACACATGTTTAACACACAAACTGCATATTTAGGCTGAGTTCTTCTCTCAAACAGGAAACACTCTGATCCACCATGTGATACAGGAAGTACTCTACTGTGTTTTAAACTGTATACACCATCACTAAAATAATTTGGTCATTTCAGCCCTGGATTTGCCAATCTCTGCTGAACAAAAAGGTAAAAGGTAGCTGTTAACCTGAAAACTAACGCTTCATGACATCACAAGGTGGAAAAGAGCATTTTGAGCTTTGGAGATGTAGACAGACTTGTAATGCAGGATTTCTCAGAGTGATTAAAATAAAACATAATTCCAGGTATGTTTTTGAGGAAGTAACTAAATTATAACATGACTTCAAGCTCACAAGAGTATACTTTGCGTAATATAGGATCTTTAAACTATGACATAATAAATAAATACACAACTTAATCACAGAAATATGTCTATTGACTTCCTATTTGAAAATGTAAAACTAAGAGGCCCCACCTTTCCACAGCAGCATTTCTCCGTGACAAGCAGTAGATTTCTGAATAATGTTTTTATTGTCGAAATTTGCTATTTGGCATTCTTAACCCTATGTGTATGCGTCAGATCTTTTTTATCATGACAAATGCAGAGCAGGGAGCAGGGATAGGTGATAGGGGATTAGCCTGATTCATCAACCGGTTTCACTTTGTCAAAACCGTCTGAACAGCGTTAGAATTTGTTTGCTTGATGGTAGGCGGGTACTTTTTTAAATTTAACCAATCGCTGCTATTTGGTCTTGAAGTATGTAATGTGTGGCTAACGGGGCTAACTGGTATATTAAGCTTTTCCCCAATCCCGTAGGAAGAAGGGCAATAACGTCTTTCCCCTTGATAAAATTCACCAAACATTCTCTTTATTCCGGCTTTAAATCCTCGATCTCGGGAATCATTGCCAACACAGAATGTATGGCTCTTCGCTGATTGGCTGGTGCCCGGACTCGCAATTCCAGGGTTATGGCGAACCGTCTAGTGTATTCCGATTCCTGACCTAGTCGCTGGAGAGAAATGAAATTGAGCGGAGCCTGGCTAATAGAGGATAGGAAATAGGTGAAAACAGACATTGTGAACAATGGACATTACAAGAGTAAACACATATGAATGAATCAAGATATAACTTAAGTATGAAGGAACAACATGAAAATATGGTTAAAATCTCATCACCTATAAAGAAATGTGTTATAAATATGTTTGTTTATGACAGGTTTACATCTCTGAAATCTCCCACAAGGCCGTTCGAGGGGCTTTGGGCTCCTGTCCTCAGATCACCGCAGTGTTTGGGACATTAACTCTTTATGTACTTGGTAGGTTCGCACATCAGATTATTCCTCCATCCTGCTTGTGTTTTATCAGTTTTTAATCTGAGGCGCTTGTGCAGGTTTGTGGGTGGAGTGGCGCTGGTTGGCCATAGCAGGAGGAATACCAGCTGTGCTCATGGTCGTGCTGTTGTCTTTCATGCCGTCCTCTCCCAGGAGGCTGCTGTCTATGGGCAGAGACGACAAAGCACTACAGGCCTTGCACTGGCTCCGGGGCCCAGACTATGACCCCAACCCAGAGCTCAATGGAATACGGGTAACACACCATGCAAGACTATTTCAGTTTTCAAGGTTGTTCAGTTCCCGCACCAGAATTTCTGTCGAGGTCAAGGTGTTGTTGGTGCTTTACTGTACTGCCCTGAGTGTTAGGAGCTTGTGCAGCAAAGATTGTAAAGGTCATGGTCAAAGATCTGCCCCAGGGCAACTGTGACTACAAATAGTCTTAATATCATTACAGAGTTTAATGCAGGAATGGGTCATCAGTTTCTAAGGCACATTATAAATCCTATCTAATATAACATTTAGGGCTGCAGCGATTAATTGGAATTGTGACAAATAATGGAATAATTATTCAGGTACTTGGCTATTAAAATGATCGTAATTGTATTTTGTATTGTAATCTGAACTATACAGAATCCAAAACACAAAAATCAGTTTTATAACATTATTAAATTAGTGAATCACAGTATTTTAAGCTATTTTACTTGGTTAAAAATACATTTAAAGGTTCTCAGTGTATTGCATGTTTTAACAGAAAGACTTGTTTGACAAATTGTAAAAAAAAAAAAAAAGATTGTCAGGGGTGGAATGTAACAAAGTAAAAGTAGTAAAGTACTGTACTTAAGTATACATTTTAGATACATGTAAGTGGATACTTTTTACTTTTACTTCACTACATTTGAGAACAAGTATGCGTATTTTCTACTCTACTACATTTTAGAACAGGGCTGAAAAGTAAAAGTATGTTATTATAGTTTGAGACATGCTAAAAAGTCTGAGAGTTTATTTTTAACACGTTCATAGTTTGAGCAAACAAAATATATAAATAAATAAAAACAGACAGGAAAAAAACTCGATGAAGTTGTTTTTGTTGAAGAAAATTAAGCACAAATCTCTATCAAAATCACCACATCTGGAGCTTTATTAGATCTCAATATTTGCACCAAAATACTTTAAACTGGGTACTTTTATTTAAGCAAATTTTTCCATGTTTATACTTTTACTTAAGTGTTTTTTTGCTCCAGTATCTGTATCTACTTCTTCCACCACTGATGATCGCTTGCTATTCGACTACTAATTGTTTGTTGCAGCCCTACTAATATATATTTTTATTCAAATAGCTGCCAGTTTTTGTTCATATTGTTGTTGTCTATTCCAGTACAGTATCCGCATGCAGAGCAGAGTGACTTTATCCCAGCTGGGCACACCTGAGTATTATAAACCAATCCTCATCTCTGTGGGGATGCGATTCCTTCAACAGATGACAGGCATCACTCCAGTCCTTATTTACCTACAACCCATCTTCGCCAGGAGCAAAGTCCCCCTAGAAGCAAAGTAAATGCCTTCTTTTATATCACATCCATCATACAGTTTGTATACTATATTATGTAAAATGACTATGAAGACTGTTGTTACCTCATCAGAAACATACCTGGACTTGTGTTTTGTTTGAGTAATCCTGCATTATTAGTCTGTCTACATCTTCAAAATTCAGGACTATACAGAACTACAAGACTACATTCATACCATGCTCCATACAGATGTACAACAACTCACCTTTATCTAACAGCTAATACTCCCTACAACTGTACAACAACTCACCCTTATGTGACGGATAACCCTATGTCCTGTCAATCATAATATCATTGTTGCACTGTCTTCCACCTTTTTTATATAGCTGAGATTTGATATTTTATTACCTGTTTTTCTATTTTATTTTGACTTGGACACTTACATTTATATAATTATGCCTTATTTGACACCTTTGTCTCTTGCTACCTTTTTTGTCTCTTATTTAGAATTTATTATTACCATTTATATTGTTTACTCTTTGTTATTACATTATATTGCGATGTGTGAGCTGCTGTGTCTAAGTACATAGATTTTGTTTAAGTCTAAGTCTAAACTCAAAATGCTCTGTTCCACCTTGTGATGACATGTATTTGTAGTTTTCAAGTTAAGATCTACCTTTTACCTTTAGTTCAGCAGAATTCGGCAATTCCAGGGCTGAAATTATCCAAATGATTCTAGCGAAGGTGTGTAGAGTTTCAAAACAGAGTGGAGCACTTCCTAATTTCCATGACATTACAAGATAGAACAAAGTGTTTTCTATTTGAGAGAAGAACTCAGCCTAAATATGCAGGATTTGCGTGTTAAACTTGTGTGAATGAAACAAAACACAACTCCAGGTATGTTTTGAATGAGGAAACAACATTATAACATAGATCAGCAAATAGTGTAATATGGGCCATTTAACTAACACATATGCATCTCTGTTCTTCAGGTATGATGCGGCTCTGGTGGGAGTGGTGCGACTGTTTTCAGTGGTGTTGGCAGCCAGTTTAATGGACAAAGCTGGGCGTAAAGCTTTGTTGTACACGTCAAGTATGCTCATGTTCGTCTCCTCCCTGACACTGACGATCACCTCCCACACCACTCCTTGTCCTGGCTCCCAAAACAGCACAGTCCTGAACTACAACTCCCACAATGCCCTAGTAAACGCTACAATGGACCCCAGCAAAAGTGATACAAGCATCATTCCAGTCATAAGCACCATGGTGTTCATCTTTGGTGAGTGTTCATGAGATTTACAGAAAATGTTTGAAAGCGAAGTCACTATCACTTAGTGTTGTAGTTAAGACCGCACTAATCCAGCCAAAGACCAGTCAGAGATCACAGAGACCAGGACAAGACTCAGACCTCTGAGGGTCAAGACTCAGACAAGCCCAAGGTCATGATTGAGACACGACCGAGACCACAGCCTATTGAGACCAAATCGAGACCATCTTTGTCATTTTCTACATTTATTTCTATTTTACAGTTATTTTGGCACATATATATCAATGTTTTTTTTAATAAATCTATCTCTATTTTATCTGATTAATGTTCAATTAGGCATAAAAAAGCTAAACAAACTGTATTGCACTTAAACACTCTGTGCCATTTTTTTGGAGTCTCACCCACAGTTTGAGAATCCTGTTTTTAAGAGTAGTTTCACTGGCACTTGTAAGTGAATAAAAAAATAAATAAAAGTGGGTAGGATTTTTAAACCTGTTTTTTCAAGTTCCTAACTAGAGTTACATTCTCCTATTGACCTCTGCACATTTACCAAACACACTTGTGACAAATACAGATGCATTTGTGCACTTTAAGTAGACAAATTTTAGCCACATGTCGTGGTAAGAAGGAACTCAAATCCAAGTCATAACCGAGTCCAAACGCGGTCTCGAGGCCAGTCTCAGAACCAAGACTGGTCTTGAGTCCACACTGCTATCTCTTAAAAGCTTCTTGTCTCCATGGAGATGTTATTGCATTGCCTGGAATATTCCACAGTAAAAAGTGCTCCTATTACACTATTTTCTGATCAACAACATACCTGGAGTTTGTTTCATTTGTCACATGTTTAACACACAATCCTTGCATATTTAGGCTGTGTTCTTCTCTGAAACTGAAAACACTTTCTTCCACTTTGTGATGTCATGTGGTAATACAGGAAGTGCTCTACTGTGTTTTTAAAGTCCATGCAGCTTCACTAGAATCATTTCGATAATTTCAGTCCCAGTATTTCCAATCTCTACTGAAGAAAAGGTTGACTTAAAAATTACCACTTCATGACATCACAAGGTGGAACAGAGCATTTTGAGCTTTGGAGACAAATAATAAAGAGTTACTCAAACATGTGTGAATGAAACCAAACACAACTCCAGGTATGTTTTTGATGAGGTAACAACATTATAACAAATCTGTCTGATCTGTTTGACACTTAGACTTACACCCACTCCTACATTCATACAAGATATTATCAAAATTTTACTAAGATAATTCTAAAACATACAGATATAATTTGTCAGTATCATCCACACCTACTTAAATGCTATGGGAATTTCAAAACCTTAATCTGTGAATGGAATAGGCTCGTGCCTATAATAATTGCAAATCATCTATTTACTACTATACAAACAAGCAAACAATGCTCATGTGCTTGAATATGGTCTTGTCTCCTAGGATACGCCATGGGGTGGGGCCCGATCACCTGGCTGCTGATGTCAGAGGTGCTGCCGCTGGTGACGAGGGGCGTGGCCTCGGGACTGTGTGTGACGGTGAGCTGGCTGACGGCGTTTGCGCTCACTCACGCCTTCACTCACATGTTGGACTACGGCCTGTACGTGCCCTACCTGCTCTTCACTGTAGTGTGTGTGCTGTGCCTCCTCTTCACCGCCGTGTGCATCCCGGAGACACGTGGGCGCTCGCTGGAGGAGATCGAGAACTACTTCAGGACGGGGCGCAAATTCACCATCTCCAGCCGCAGCCCCTCTGTGCTGGATTCCACCTGAACAACACAAACTGAACAACACAGGACTGCATTCAGTACTGTGGAACCCAATGCTTTTTGTCATGAGTAGCCCACTAAGCTTCATCTCACACTCTGAATAGCCCCTAACTCAGGCAAATAAATCTGTTTACTATAGTTGTATAGTACTGTATTGTTCATTATTACTTGTAAAAATTATATTTTCTTGTTTTAAAAGCACTGCACCTGATTTTTACTCTGTTAAAAAGAATAAATGTTAATTATTAACAGTTTGCAGTGGTCCAAAGTTATTCCCCACTTACCTTATACATTGTGAATTAGTCACCGCGATGACTTTATGAGCGCTTTTCACAGAGTTTTGCCATGAGGATAAAGATGACAACAACTAGCATGCTAACACATACTTTAGATTATCAGACAATAAAATGCTTCCTAATTAGACAGCACACTACACGCATATTTTAACCTCAAGAGCTACTAAATAATCTATCTGTACTGGGGCAAGACAAATATAAAATAAGATAACCGAAATATAATCTATTCCAGGGGTGGGCAAACTACGGCCTGGGCCAAAAATTATAATTTTCAGTGTTTTAAAAGTCATTTCAATAAAGAGTAAATACCGTGGGACTTGAAAGACAGACATTTTGTTGTAATGCTGTGTAATTATTTTCAATTATGGGATATTTCAGTAACATGGGATCTGTTTTCTACATATCCCATGTTATTTTTTTCTCTTATGAGGTGGATTACACTCCATCCACCTGCTCCTGGTCCGGCCCTTCCTTCTAATTGTAGAACCCTTTGTGGCCCATGGGTCAAAAAGTTTGCCCACCCCTGATCTAATCTAACTAATTTAAAAAAAAAAAAAAAAAGAGGGAAAGATACAGAACCCTTTACTTAATTTTATTTATTTAAAATGTCTTATTTCATTTTTATATTATTATTTCTTTTTCTTCTCTTTCACTTGTTTTAATTTGTTTTGTATTGTTTTTGTTTTTTTCCTTTTGCGTTTATTATTATTATCATTGTTATAATTTATTGTCTTGACTGTGGTTGTAATTTAACCAAAACTGAACCTGTCAAGTCACTAAATTAATCACATGGTGGTGATGGACGCCATATACACAAGCTTGCCCTGCTTCTTTGGAAGTCCATGTTTTGTTTTTTTTCACAGTTTTCACATATTTTGTTCAAATACATGGGGGAAAAAATTAGGTGCGGGGTCTTTAATGATCCTGATGTCCAAAATCCTTCAAAACTTACTTAAAAATGTAAAATACAAACAACATTTTTAACACAAATACTATTCATTTTAAGCCTCTCTTCTTGCTAAATTCTCGATTATCTGTTGGGAAACACCTCTATCAGCATGTATTATCACAATAAACAAAAGTACACTCCTCACAAAAACTCTCACAACAATAACAAAAAAAACAATTCATGACACAGCTTGACACAGCTTTAAACTAATGACTCTACTTTGTTGAGTGTCCACCATCCGTTGTCTACGTGAGATGATTTATGCTTCGCCTGGAATATTCCACAGTTTGGTGTTAAAATGTATCTGCTTCCTTGGTGACACAGTGGAACTTACAATACGTACAATGCACACAATCATTTTTGTTGTATTTAAGCAGAGGCATTCTTCTCCTATTATGAATGTATGGCATAGAGTCCGCCCTCCGTAAGCACGCTAATACCTTAATTGAATTCTCCACGACGTTCATTAGTGCTAAAAAGGTTTCGGTCCAAGAAACGCCTTCTACATGCTGTTTATTCTACAAACACGTATCACAACAAAAGATGCTGATTAATTGGACATATATGCACCAATTAGCCGAACCAGATGTGCTGAGGCTACTTCCATGTGTTTTATACATTACTGGCAGGTTGAACGAGCCGGGTGACATGCCCCACTATGCTGCTTTTTTAGTGACTCAGATAACAACTCCCCACATCCAAACATTCTGATAATTAAACAAATAGATGGACATCGAAATGAAGTAGAGCAGAAAAACATCAACAAGTATCTGAAGTAAATAATGTAACAAAAATACAGAAATGTGTGTTAAAATAGATGTAAAGCCAAATATGTAAGAGTGTGTTTTGTCTTGTACTTTTATGACATGATGTGTGGGAATAGAATTAAATTAGCTGTACTTCTATTTTGTCTTTCGTAGTTCTTATACTACATTACCCTTTATCCGTAACTGATATTAACTTCGGTCTCCTTTGTGCTGGCTTTATATAGTGGCCACGTCCGGGCTATTTATAAATCTGAAGAGCTTTTCCTCATTCTTTTTCTTTTCTGTATCTGATAGCCTACTTATAATTCTTACCAATGTTTAATAATCTGCAGTAATCGCTAAACTACTTTGAAGTGATTATAAAATACACATTTAAGTTAGAAGTTGCTTGTAATTCTCTCTGGATCACGCAATCTTTTATGTTTTTTTTCTTTTTTAGACAACCTTTTCGACCTTCTCTTGCTCATTTTTAGACTCATCATGTGACCAGGGTTAGATGAAAACTGTCCTGAATATCTTTGGATGTTTTGGAACTGTCTTGGCTTGAGTCTGCCTGTACACGATCATGGTAGTCAGGACAGTAACTCTGGAGTGGTCCCTCTCTTCAAAAAAAAGTGGCCAGAGGATGTGCTTCAAATACAATACATCCATTCAATGTTCAGTTCAAGAGGATTATGTCCATGTATCTGAGCAAATTTTGTCTTGCCCCAGTTCAAATATATTGTATAAGCAGCTTTTGAGGTTAAATAAATCAGCTCTGAATTGTCTGCATCTACTTAGAAAGTGTTTTCAGTCCAAGTACCAGGAATTACACGGTTATTTGTAAAGCCCTTTGTAGTTAGCTTTACTGTGACGACAAAACTCTGGTCTGGTCTGGTCTCTGAAAGTTGTGAAAAGCATTTAAAAACAAATCGCATTGAATAATTAGGAGGCTCGGTATTTATAAGGTAAGTGAGGAAAAACTTTGGACTAGTGAAACAGTTTAAAATTGATTTTCTTAGACATAAAAATCAGGTACAGCAACTTGAACAGTAACATGCTTTATAGTGTCACTTGCTTGAGGGGTTCATTTTAGGTTATCAGGGCATATGGATTCCAAGTGCAGTTTCTGACCAAAGCAGGAGCTCGGTTTTCATTGCAGACACAAAATCAGGGACCAGAGGGGACGACAGACTCAATGCTCTTTGCTCTTTGCCCTTCTGGCCTTCTCCAGTCTGGAATAGCCTGGTATGTGGAATGCTTCATCATTATTAAAATATGTCTTTTTGGATCCGTTTCTGAAGTTCACTGTCTTAATAAGGTGACAAAGAGGCCTGGACTCCTCAGCCTCACAGTGGAATGTAAAACACTGTAAGGATTGGTCTATTGTGTGGAATGTCGTCAATCAAGCCTATCGAAACACACTCGCAGATGAGCAGAGCAGCTATGAGCTCAGCTTGCTCATATCAGGCAGACAACACCCCACACACCTTCAAGCCTCCACCCCAACATTTCGAGGTAAAACGTCCACTTCCGGTTCACCTGGAAAACACTATTATAGACACAATTTTTATCATTTATTATTATTATTTAAATTTTTACTCAATTTTTTATTTATTTATTTTATTTATGAAACATTATAAATATGCCCGGTTGTAACATTAGAGTTAATTTCCACTTATAGCCCCTGGGGCAAATTATTATTATTATTATTATTATTATTATTAGTAGTAGTAGTAGTAGTAGTAGTAGTAGTAGTAATAGAGTAATAGTAGTAGAAGTGGTAGCAGTAGTAGTAGTAGTAGTAGTAGTAGTAGTAGTAGTAGTAGTAGTAGTAGTAGTAGTAGTAGAAGTAGTAGTAGTAGTAGTAGTAGTAGTAGTAATAGAGTAATAGTAGTAGAAGTGGTAGCAGTAGTAGTAGTAGTAGTAGTAGTAGTAGTAGTAGTAGTAGTAGTAGTAGTAGTAGTAGTAGCAGTAGTAGTAGTAGTAGTAGTAGTAGTAGTAGTAGCAGTAGTAATAGTAGTAGTAGTAGTAGTAGTAGTATGGTTATTAATACTTCTAGCAGAAATAGTAGTAGTAGTAGTAGTAGTAATAGAGTAATAGTAGTAGAAGTGGTAGCAGTAGTAGTAGTAGTAGTAGTAGTAGTAGTAGTAGTAGTAGTACTAGTAGTAGTAGTAGTAGCAGTAGTAGTAGTAGTAGTAGTAGTAGTAGTAGTAGTAGCAGTAGTAGTAGTAGTAGTAGTAGTAGTAGTAGTAGTAGTAGTAGCAGTAGTAATAGTAGTAGTAGTAGTAGTAGTAGTAGTAGTAGTAGTAGTAGTAGTAGTAGTAGTAGCAGTAGTAATAGTAGTAGTAGTAGTAGCAGTAGTAGTAGCAGTAGTAATAGTAGTAGTAGTAGTAGTAGTAGTAGTAGTAGCAGTAGTAATAGTAGTAGTAGTAGTAGTAGTAGTAGTAGCAGTAGTAATAGTAGTAGTAGTAGTAGTAGTAGTAGTAGTAGTATGGTTATTAATACTTCTAGCAGAAGTAGTAGTAGAAGTAATAAGAGTAGTATTAGTAGTATGATGATTATTATTATATCTAGTGACTACATCTTAAATATAAAGATATTTAAACTTTAAAGGTGTTCAGTATAACTTATTATCATCTCTATTTTGCATTTATTCAACTACTGTTGCTTTCATTGCTCAAAAATACCTTGAAAACCAATATTATTAAAGTGAGTGGGGTTGCCTCTCCACAGATCTGACCTGACAATACATTCTTGGCAATTATACATGAAGACAATGTAGATCCTCCCTAGAAAAGTGACAAATTTTATATCATATTATACTGATTATTGTTATTTATTTCAGAGGTTTAGCGATCGTCCAACGTGTCAGAGAGCGGCGGTGTGTGAATCCCAGTTCCCCTCATGCGCTCTGTTGCTGTGTCCTTGAGCTAAACACTTGACTAGAAGCTTTCTTTCCTGAAACCACAAAATAAAAAATGATTACAGTTAATCTTTGTGGAGGCTTATCAAACATCGTAAAGCTCCATACAAATATAACGGCATTGTTATAGAGCAGTAAAATATCAGCTATATTAAATTACTTCAGTATTTTTTCTGAATTTGAGAGCAGAAAAACTTGTAAGAGAGAGTAGGGAGAGACATTCAGTATATTGCCATTGAGTCCAGAGTCAACCCCGTGTAATCTCTGCAAAGAAAGATAAATCACTGCAGATTCACAAAACTGTATGCTTAATTTTTTTTTTTAAAGCGAGAGAAACCTTTGTCTACCCACGCGTTATTTAAAGGCTCTCGGTGTTAATATGTCTAAATATATTTGATTAATCATTCAGAACAATGTCCTATAGAAAGACGTTATCTGTGCATTGATTATTTTTTTTAATTGCATCTGTAAACAAAAGTTAATCTTCTTTCTTGCTTTAAGTGAAAAAGTCCAGACTAGGAAAATAAAGCAAGAAAACAGGTTAGACACTGCACACACTCCCTTAATAACGGGCTAGAGCGAGAGAACAAAGCCAAATGCAGACCAATCCTGCGTTTGAAACTACGCCTAATGACTAAGGCCCGGCTTGATTGCATTTCAGCAGGGAGGGGGCAGGTGGGTGGGGCCGGGGGGCGGGGCCAAACTCAGGTACAGGTGAGACAGGTGAATGTGCCTGTCATTAGAGCCTGTGGGAGTCTACATCAGCAGCAGCACACGCACTGACCTCTGACTCTGTGGACTGAAGACAAGCAACTCAACAGGTAAGATCGCACCGACTCCAAAATGACTCTGATATTTTAAACTAGAATTACTTCCTATGATTCATATTACTGGATCAATTATGTGCAGAAGAAAAGGTTTGAAGCAAGGACAAATTGTCTCAGAAATGTTCATACTGTCAAGCTAAAATATCCTTATTGTAGATACTTCACAATATGCCTAAAACTTACTAAACTAAGTAAGTAAATGTTTGTGGAAAAGTAACATTTCTTTAACAACTTCAAGCAGGTTTAAACTTAGTATTGTTTTTAAAAGCAAAATAATTAGTTTTTCTCTTTTTTTAACTATTAGAACAGCACAAAAGATGCATTTCGGTGAACTAAAGTAAAACGTGAATCGGTATTTTTCTCTCCATGGACATTTGTGTTGTAATATGAAGTGAAAAACAGATTTATTTTTTATTAAGGATGTGCAATGTTAAAGAAACGTATCAACATAGTGTGATTTGGATCAGCGCCGCTCAGATAACTAACTGGGTCAGCGAGTGTCATTGATCATCTGACAGGTGCACATCCAGAGCTGTCTGACGGCACAGAGGGACACACCTTTACTGAAGGATGTGAGGTCGAGGCAGGCAGGGAGGGACCTGTCAGTGTGAATTACAGCAGATTAACACCAAACAGTCATGGGTTCACTCGAGACAAAGTAGGACATGGATTTACCACTGTGCCAAAAGTCAAACAATACTGACACTGCGCTCCAGGCCCGGGGTGTGTTATGATGCTAAGAGGATTTATTTATTTCATTTGGGCAACTCAACTTTATCCACTTTTTCATAATTTACAAAACCCAAAAGGAGCAGGCAGAAAAAAACCTATAAATCCTCCTTTCAGAATATAGATTTAAACATATTTCAAAACTAATATTACTACTTTTTAACTACTTCTAATGAACATTGCTTTCTGCTGTTATGCCAGTGGGTAACAAACTATAAAGCTGATTGATTTTGGTAGGGCATCTGACATATTGTGCATCATAGGTTAAGTTCTAAAGAGCGTAAATGTTTAAAACTAAAACTACTTGACATCAGCAGTGAAGGTGACCATGTTTGTACTATAAAAACTTACTTGTAATAAAAGTAGTTTAAGAAAAAGTTAAAAAAGAGTAAAAAAAAAGTGGAGAAAAAAAAGTCTGAAGCACTCTGTTGGAAATATTCTTAAAGTCTTTTATTGGTTACATACTCATCCCATATAACAAATAAGGGACTTTTATAATACTTTTTGCTTTTTTAGTCTATCCCACGTAAGTTTTTGTACTACAAGCATCTTCATCTTTTGTTTTGGTTTTTGAGGTTTGCCCTCAAGGAGCACCTGTTCCAGGAAAATCCTGAAGCTCTCGCTCTTTATGTGTTTTTATACTAGACTACATTTGGAATTCGTATTTATCACGGCAAATACAAGCATATACAAGAATCCTTTTGAAATTAAGGACTTAAAACAGTTTAATTTGTACTTTAAACTAGTACATTTATGTGCTGCTTGTTGAGATTTTGGATAAAGCAGAGACTACGGGCTGATCAGATATTGAGACACACCCGCTCGACAGCCCACAGAACCATGCGGCTCTACTGCATTCTTCCCTCGGCTCCTGGGTGTATACAGGCCCTTTTGTGTGTGCGTGTGGGGAACAGTGACAAAGCAGTGTGTCATGTGTGCGACGAGGAGGGTGACGGACAGGCCAAAGCTACACCTCACAGCCTAAACTGAATGCCCAGACACATGCCCACAATCAACACACAGCTTTGTGAAACGCAAGCATTTACAGTTGTCATCTGAGCCTCTCTGCGTGCATCGTGTGTGAGTAGGCACAAAAGAAGAAAAAGAAATGAAAAGATTGGTTGTGTGAAAGTAAAATGTCAAGGGAAGTGCTCAAAGAGAAATACTTTAGAAAAATTTGAGCTTACTTTTCGGACAAAACAGAAATGTCAATTTGTATTCCGGGTTCTGAACTGGGTTCTCTATTTTTATCTCTAAAAATAGGTGATGCCTTTCTTATGTAAGTTTTTTATTATCAGTTAAGCGTTGGCGTTAAATGTTCATGTTATCTCCTCTCATACATGACAACTTAACATTATTAACAATCCAAGCATGTTTCAATTGTCTGGATGGGTATGTAGTTTGCAGTAAAGTTTGATTCAGTTCGAAAAAATATGAGCTATTATTAAAACAGCTACAGTTAAATATAAAGCAAGGGTAATTACATATAGGTGTGTCTTTATTTTAGGAGGAAAACAAAGGACTGGACTGAAAGCTAATCCAGCAATGCAAAACACACAAAAGTCTGATTTGAAATAATTATATAATTTGCTTTGTTATGTTGAGTGAACTTATGTATTGGGCTGATAACTTTGGCTCAAATAATTGCTTGGGATCAACAGGAAATGATCTAAATTAGACAAAATGACGCATGTTTTGAGTGTAACCATACCTCATTGTCACGCCCTGAAGCCTGACAGGAGACATCCACACGTCCACAGAGTTTATCAGATCTACTCGGAGGCAGAAAAGAGAGAAGCCTACAAAAGCAGAGAACATATTTTAAATGATTGTACAATTTTTTTCACAGTGCGATGAGTGCAGACGGCAGGAAGGACGTTCCGCCTTATATGTTACCGGGTGAGTATACATAAACAATATGACATGATAACTAACTCAACTAACATGGACAACTGACTAATGTTTTTCTTTCTGATCTAGTGGAAGGCGGAGACGGTGGAGTCAAGGTTTATAATGTCCACACGCCATTCACTCCTCGAGAGAGCTCCCACGTGGGGCTACCGGGTAATTTACTGACACTGAGGGAGGGCAATATGCAAAAAAACAGAGATTATAATTTCAAATCTGTCATGGTCCATGTAGTTAGTATCTTTAAATGTGCAGCTAAAACCACCTGCAACTCCAAGAGAAGTTACATTGTGATTGGTTAAATCACTCAACGCTAGGTGAAGGCTGACAGATAGAAAGAGAGCGTGACGAAAGCATTTGTGGTTTAAGTATAGAATAGAGATGCACCAATCCATCTTTTTTGATCCGATACCAACCCGTACAGAGACCAGACATATTATTTTCTCTGAACACAATTGGTATATGGTTAAATATTACTTAAATCTGGCTTCTAATAGTTTTTTAATCATTTAATGTTTGTTCAAGTTCAATAATATGAGGTGTTTTGGGGCATAATTGTTCAGCAACTCATCGTATTACACCAGTTAATAGACCAAAATGAGATACTGACTGAACTGATATCCAGGAACTGATATTTGATCCATCAAAATGGTAAAAGTCAGCGCTGATATCGGTACCAGTATCGTATCAATGCATTCTGAGTACAGAGCTACAGTAATCAGGAAAGTACTGAATCACATAGAGCCAAAAAAGCATACATCATAACAGGGACCAGATCAGAATTTGATGTTTATTTCCATATTGCCCAGCCCTAACTCATTTTGTAATGTGCAATAACTAATAATAACACAGTATACTAAAGCTAAAATGTCCTCTCTTTATAGTATACACAGGAGGGTTGGGCTCCAACCCTGATTCCGATGGTAAAAATAAGTATGTGAGCTACGACACTGCTTTAGGCTTTAACCCAGGCATGGCCACCTGCACCTCCTGCCAGCAACAGGTCATGACCAACGTGACCTACAAGGCCGGACGATACGCCTGGCTCATGTGCCTGCTCTTCGTCTGCCTCGGGTATGGATTTACTTACTTGTTTTGTGTGTTTTGTATCTGTTTTGTCTGAGTGTTGTCAGGCCTGTAGTTGGATTGCTGTGGTTTTCTCACAGGTTGGTGCTCTGCTGCTGCCTCATCCCCTTCTTCATGAACAAGTTTAAAGACGCCTACCACACGTGCCCCCGCTGTAACAGAGTGCTGCACATCGAGAAGAGAAAGTGTTGTAAATGACGCATGATGCACAGCTTAACCCGTGGAAATGACCAGATGAGGATTAGCATTATTAGCCGAAGCAAAATCAAACGTTAACACCTCTAAGATTCCTCTGTCGAGATTAGGAGTGATTTTGCTTAAATTAAGCACATCCAATGCATGTTGCATTCCAGCAGAAAAATATTACTTCTTCTTTAATGCTTTAAAAACTTTAAAACTTTGAAATGAAGGTTTGTAAATAGACTTAATCAATACTTTTATTTTATTTTAAAATATTTCTTTAAACTTTTAAAATATCTGCTTATTTAGTATTATGTTTACATGCAGACACACCCATCAAACTGCCAATTACTAAATTAAATATTCTAAATTAATTTAGTCATTGGTAGTTAATAAGTACATTTTTAACTTATAAGCTAAACATATAATATATCGGCATTTCTTAAAATTAAAATGTAAAAACATATTGAAAGTGATAATGCATTTGCCCTACCCTCTCTTACCTACTAGAAGCTTGTATGGTTCAATGTATAAATATTTGGCTATGTCACTGCTCAAATAAATTACACATGAAGTCCTTTCTCCTCTTTTTTGGTTTGGTCTAAGAAGCCTGTATAGGTCTACATCCTAAAGATTCATGAAACAGGTAGAGTCTGTGGCTTGCACTTTTACTGACTTAGACTTAGACTTTATTGATCCATGAAGGAAATTACTTGGACACAGTAGCTCACACATCACAATATATTATAATAATACAGTGTAAACGAAAAGGTAATAAACTTCCAAATAAGTAGCATTAAAAATACTAAGAGATTAGCAAGAAATGCATGTACTGTAAGTAAACTGGCTCGGAGTCACTGAACCTGTGGTTGCCTTCATGCTGACGACAAATACAAGTTTTCTCTTTTGTTTATGGACAGACCAGGCGTCATGTGAAAGCTCAGAGCCTCCAGAATTCCCTCACCGAGCTGCAGAGGCTGCACTGACTCATAATCGGCTGTAGGTGCTGGTTTAATGAACAGGCTATTCAGATCATTGCCATTTTAGATTTACAACTGGTTTTGGTTGTAGGAACTGGCAACCCTAAACCAACATACTTTTGATTTTACAATGTAACCCATCCTTCATAAAAATAATGATAGCTGTAAAATTCCACGTGTTTTGATTTTCCCTTAGAATATAAATGAATAGAAACAAAGCGGCAATATCTGCTTTCCTACTCGGCTAATAAAAGGTTAGACAGCAAACTAGACATTGGAGATGGGTTTAGGAGATGTATGTTCTCACCAGACCAGGAGCAGTGTTCTGTTTTGGCACCGATGGTTCGGTCAGTCCAGTCTCACTGGGGCCGTGCGACAGTCCCGCTCAAGACTCTCCATGGTGCAAAGTTTTAGCGCTGCGCACACAAATCTTGGCTCTGACACTAGAAAAACTCCAGCTCGTGATTATCGGGCCATGTTCCCTTTCATTTAATGTTTTTACATTTGCAAGGATAGAACAATCACCATTAAGCATCCGGGAGTAAGTTCAGGGTCCCCAGAGTCCCCATCTGGTCCTCAGATTTGTGTTCTAACATCGGGACTCCCTCTGGTGGTGGCTCACTGCACTTGGTGGATGATACCATGGAGAGCTCCATCAGAGAGGCACCTTTCTGTGAAAAGTGCACAACAGTCTTTAGTAATTAATACAAATATTACATTAGTATTGTTCTTTACTTACCAGTACACGGTGGATCCGACTGGAACACATTTCTGGAGTTATATATAATAAGACATATTATAGTTCCATAAAAAGTGACTCGCCCTTTTTATGGAACTAGGAAGAAAGCATTAAGTGTTCATCTACACTCCTTCTGTGAGATTAATCCACAAATACTAAAGAGATGAACTTTGGGTTAGGACCTCCTTTGAATGAACAACCATCCTGAAAAATAGAGGTTTTTGAGTACTGATACCAATACGCTGTGCAAAGAAGCAAGTACAATGTTTTATCATGTAAACACACAGTTAAAATTCAACTTAAACAGGAGAAGTAGGGAGTGTCTCACTAACTGACAAGTTACTGAACAAACCCAAGTCTCCACATTGTACAAATTATTATAAATTAAAAATACAATCTCCACAGAGACTCTTTACATATAACATTACAAAATAGTACACATTTGTTCATTTGTATACTACTTGTAGCACAATGTAGTCATAAAGCAACAACTTAAACAGGAGAATTAGGGAGTGTCCCACCAACTGACAAGTTAGTGAACAAACCCAAGTCTCCACATCTTACAAATCATTATAACGTAAAAGTAGTTTACAGAAAGACACAGTGACACAGAGATACACATGTACTGTAAACAGTTTAGTTCTATAAATACCATGGTTGTGCTAATTCTACATTTTAACCTTATATTACAATTATTGAAAAAACTAACAAAAAACTAAAAAACAAACACGCCCAAAAAAGAGAGAAACTGAGTGTCCCATCAACTGTTGAATGAGTGGACAAACACAAATCTCCTAATGTAGACAGGGAAATATTTCCTCCAGTGAGAGATTTAATTGTATTTATACTTAAAATTTATTTTATTAGTTATTTTTAAAATAATATTAATTAATAAGTTACCCTCCTACAGCCAGAGTGGAGCCAGCTCAAAATAAACACACAGCAAAGCGTACCATGCAGGAAATTACATACAAGTATCAGAGTGACTTCTTTCTCAAGTGAGTAGATTTAAAGAATTTGTTTATGCTGAATTGTTACATTCCTACACAGTATTCCTTCTCATTCAACACACAAACAAGCACAGCAAAGGAGGGGAAATCGCACCAGCAACACCACGACCTTCTCCCCTCTAACCCACCTACCCCCAGAGCAGAATACAAGGTGTACTATACAGGACATTTGTGACATTGCAGTTTAAATTTGGTTTATATATTACTATTTACTTACTGATCATGTTTAACTTAATTTTATTTTATTTATTTATTTTTGCTTTTAAGACTTTTCAGGATTTTAAGGTTGTAGAAATCCTATATACGATTCCTTGCTTTCATACAAAATATGAAAAATGATTTTGGGACACACAGCTAAGATAATAAATTGAAAAACTATGTACATGAAATAAAATCGGAATTGTTGAAGGTGGTAAATGTTGTCGATATGATGTTACCAAGCCCAGAGTCTCAGAGACTGAACTCATCGTCCAACTCAGGGTCTTGAAGCAGGTGGTGGCAGTAAAGCGAAAAGCTTCCAGACGTCCCAGAAGATGTGGACTGTCTCTTGGAGCTGGGGGTCTCCCTCTTCATCCTCACCTTCATCCCTGCGGCGCTTGGATGCACCGAGAGGCAGAAGGTCCAGAGCAGGGCTCACAGGGGGAAGGCAAGGAGCAGAACAGGGAGGACAGTGCGCTGGTCAGACAGGTGCCTCATGGGTCACAGAAGCGCCCTTAACACAGCCGTGCATTAGAACAGCGCGCTCATACTCACCTCTCACAAATGCAAAGAAAAAACATGTCTGAAGAAATGTCCTGTATTTCCCTGAAGCAGATTAAGTCCAAAACAGACACATTTTTCCTCCACGCGAGTGCAATAGTCCCGTTATTCCACTGAGGCTGTCGCATCTTCATCAACACAGCTCACAGACGGGCTCCTTTCCAGCCGCCCTCGCTCCACTGCTCCATCCGGATCTGAATATTTATATACTTATTATTTATTTACTTCTTTATACAGTCTTATGATTTTACACAAACCGGCTCTGAAACTAGTGCACTGTTTGATCAAATGACTGCCTGTATTACTAACGTATACTCATTACAAACATGGCAATAAAATAGAAAATCATGGCTGCTGCAGTTGCTTTCTTTCGCCTTCAACTGCTATCATGGACTGCAAAGCCCAAATGTATGGTGGGAAATGTCGTTTGATGTTTTGATGAAATGTGACATAACCTACAATAACAGATTTAACGCGCTGCAATAATAACAAAATCACAAATGTGTAGATCTCCCAGTTTTCCCAATACATAAGCAAGCAGTGTAATAATGATGCAACAAATAAAATAAATCCAAGTAACCCAAACGGGTCATGAACCCCCGACTGAGAAACACTTCATTCAGTTTTGACAAGCAGCAAAATAAGGTTTAATAATTAGTTTTTTTATAGAAAATTTTATTCAACATACATTTTCCAGCAAAAAGGCAATATACAGGAGTAGTTGTCGTACACTGCTGCTACACTGAGGAATTTAACCGGAAAAGATCAAATTAAGATGTGATTCTGCAGGCCATTTTTGTACTGCACTTTTTAACAAGACAAAACCAATGCAGTTAAAAGTAAAATCCAATGTAACAGAAAAATAATTAATGGTACATCAGGAACGCAAAAAGAAAATAAAGAAAAAACCTACACACAAGAAATATGAACACCTGGCTCCTTCTGTACCCAACAACAAAGGCGTGTGTTTCTCTGCAATTTTACACGTTAATATTTTTAAATATACAATTTAAATGTTGTCTTTACAGAGCAAGCGAATAGGGAGCATTCCATCTGTGCTTTAAAAGAAAACATAATTCATAGGGCCAAAAGTGTTTCTTACAATGCTGGTTTTGTCTCTACACAATCCCCTGTAGGCGATTAGTTTATCTGCAGCTCCCTACCTAAAGCACAACAGCGCGGATTACTGCTCCCAACCACCAGAGAGCGACAAAACTCACGACAGAAGACAGACAAACGTACAGTGGGTAGGAAAAATATTGTGTGCGCACGTTCTGGAGTTCAGAGGAGGAATGACAAACGGGGACAATAATTCCCAAGGAGGACATATTCGTCCGTGCATGTTCTTTCCAAAGTACTGGAGCGACCCCACCTTACATCCTGAGAAACCTCGATCCTCTATGATAAGTGCTAATGTGCAAGATGAAATACAGACAAGCTTCCTTTCGTTTTCCTCATTTATTTTAAACAGATGCCGTGGTGGTTTATTATACAAGATCTGCAGAAAGAGACAAAGTAATCATTCCTGCAACCAAAGTTAAGTGAGAGAGAGAAATGTGGCTTCAACATGGAAATACTGTTTGTCACTAAAGGATTGGAGCAGGAAAAAGCCATTCAAAACTATCGAGCCACGCTGGCCCTTTCAAACAGGTGGTCTGAGACAGTTTTCAAAAGAACCCCTGTTCAGAATCTACCATCCCATAATCCTTTGTTTTGTCCCAACATATCCTCCTAGCAAGCTCCACACAGCAGCATAATGCCTCTTCCAAAAAAAGAAAAAAAATTAAAAACAACCCCAAAAATCTGCAGGGAAAAAGCTGGTGAGGTGAAAAAGAATCCCTAGCCTAGAAGTTTACATAGATTTATTATATAGATTTAAATTTTCAAACTGTGCTCCACTTCAGCTCTTCAAGTGTATGTTATAATAAAATCCAATTTCATGTCCCGCTTCCAGACAGGCAAAAAATAAGGTAGAAGCCAAAAAAACAAAAAAAAAAAACACACACAAAACAATTGAAGTGAGCCCCAACACGGAGGCTGGCGGTAAAAAAAAAGAAAAAAAAAGGTCAAACTGAAGAATTGGGGGAGGTGGTTGGTGCAGTTTTTTTTGTGGTTTTAGAATAATCCATCAGCTGCAGCAAACATCCTTATAGCTGAAGACCAAGTGCCGGTGTAGAGCTGTCCAGGTGTCCGGGCGGGAGGGGCGTTCAAGGGCACACATTCAATCACGCAATCTGCACACTCATGCACTCTCACTCTCTCTCTCTCTCCCCTCTGTCTTTCACACGCTTGGTTACTGTCTGTGGTTACGGTGCCTTGAGGAAGGTAGGGAGGAGCAGGAGGACTATGTGGGGGACAAATAAAGGGTGACTGTTCTTAGTTGTGGATCTTGATTGCCTTTTCCAGGTAGGTGTAGCGCCCTCTCTTTGGAGCTTTGTTGAAATGATCCAACCCTAGCCAGGGCCGCGGGTGGGACATGTTTCCTGTAGAAGAACCACAAGTCCAGAGTGAGCGCTGAAATCAACTTAACCTGCCTTTTCTCACAAATACATACATTCTCGATTTAAATCTTGACAACTATTAACTAAAACTATTGATATGAAACTTTAATACATGCATCTCTATGGTAGAATGTTCACTAGTTACCATGGTGACAATGCACAAATTCACAAACAGAGCCAAATAAAGTTTCAGACTGTCTGAAAACTCAAGAAAAAATACAAAATGGATCGAAACGGCACATTTTCATTTTTGTTCACGGTCCTGTTTAGGAGTTTGATATTCAACAATGTTCATGAAAAAAATCTATAAAATAAGCCATGAGGTGTGACATTTTACAGCCACAGAGGGAAGAAAGTGCTTTGACCAGTCATGTACCGCAAATGTGAAAAGGCATGGGTCTGTCACTATGTTATGGAAAGTTTATAAACTCTATACAGACTGCAGCAGGACAATGCAAAATATAAATACTCTGTTGTGAGCAGATTACAGTGACATACAGCACACATACACTGAAGTTCTTATGGGTTATTTATGTGAGTTTATTTCGCCAACATAACCCTGTCTTTTACTGAAACTCCCTATAGCGTTTGGTTCTTTTATGTGTTATCACAACATTCTGTAATCCCTATATTTTATTTATGTGTGTCCTGATTTATGGTTCATCTGTAATTACTGGACCTATTTACATGAAACAAAAACTGGCACAAAGTTCAACATCTTCATTGTCAACATTAATTAACTGAAGTGTTTTCATTCACAATAGCTTGTGATTGTTCTCCGACTTTCAGACACAAGCTTATTGTGGAGCCTATCCCAAACAAATGATCTGGTTCAACATTTGTCTGTCATAATGTCTGTTAGGATATTTCTTTCAAAAAACATGAATCTCCCAGAGAGAGAGAGCAGCAGGTGTGAGGTTGTACACTGATCAGACAAAAAAGTCATTTGTGTACCACTGCACAGTCAGAATTTCATTCTGACATATACTGGGGAACCACAAACATTTGCAACATGTAAAACAACTGAATATCCAATGCTTCAGCCCCACTGGCCCCATCATTTTAACATCACAAAATATG